ATATAACTTGGCAAGCTTTATTATTTTTAGTGACATCAGTGACCATTATCCACAATTCTGCACAGTCTCTTTTCCAAATTACCAGGGGGGTCAAGATCGAGATCATATATTTAAACGAAATATGGAAAATTTTTCTGTTGACACGTATAGATCTAATCTAGAATCATCCCTGAGTCCTATCACAAATTGTCAAATCACATGTGATAACTTAAACACTTTATTTGAAATATTCACAGAAACAATTCAAACAACTATTGATGCACACGCACCCATGAAACCATTAAGTCGGCGCGAATCGAAACTTCTAGCCAAACCGTGGCTCACGAAAGGTATTCATGTCTCCATTAGGAAAAAACGTAAAATGTATAAAACGCACTTTAAAAATGGTAGCAATACCCAACATAATTTATACAAAGTTTATAACAATTTACTTAAAATCGTAATAAGTAACGCAAAAAAATCGTATTACTTCAGAAAATTCAAACACATTTGTGGTGACATCAAATCCACCTGGAAATTGATTGGTCATTTAGCTAATATCAGACAAGAAAAAAAATGTTCAATCAAAGAGCTAAAAATTGACAATGGAACTAAAGTATGTGATCCAATTTGTATTGCCAATTACCTTAACAATTATTTCACCACCATAGGCCCAAAACTGTCTAAAAATATTCCCCATTCTAATGATTCTTTTTTGAATAATCTCAAGAATCCAGTGAAAGATTCCTTGTTTCTTAGACCAACGACAATCAATGAAGTATTTACCACCATAGCAAGTCTTCCTGATGGCAAAGCAGTGGGGTATGACAATATACCTGCCAAATTTTTAAAATACGCCGCTGATATAGTGTCTCCCATGCTGTGTAAGTTGTTTAATGCCTCCCTAGACCATGGTATTTTTCCCAATTGTTTGAAAATTGCTAAAGTCACACCAGTGTTCAAAGCTGGAGACAAAGAATGTGCAACCAACTATCGCCCCATTTCAGTTCTTTCGACTATGACCATAGCATTCGAAAAACTTTTGCATACCAGACTAACACAATTTATAGATCGAAATAGCATTATTAATAAGTCACAGTTTGGTTTCCAAAAGAAGCACTCTACTAATCATGCAATACTAGATATGGTAACTTACTTTTATGATAAATTAGAGAAAAGGGAATATATCAGTGCAATATTTCTCGACCTAAAAAAGGCATTCGACACTGTCGACCATCACATATTAGTTAGAAAGCTGAGCCACTATGGCATTCGCGGTCATGCATCAAAATTCTTCCAGAGCTATTTATATTCGCGTCAACAATATGTCAAAATAGGATCAAATTGCTCCGAACTTGCAACTGTACAATGCGGAATTCCCCAGGGCACAATAATTGGCCCATTATTGTTCGTATTATTCGTCAACGATCTTCCTCATGCCACCAGATTATTGGTCAAACTCTTCGCTGACGATACCGGGTTATTTGGAAGTTCAGTCTCGCCAAATGACTTGCAAATACACATGAACTCTGAAATGCAAAAAATTGCAACGTGGATGACTAGTAACAAACTAACTATAAATATTGAAAAATCCAAATCACTTCTAATTAATCCCAAAAAAAATGAAAGAAGTGTGCATTTGATTAAAATTACTATTAATGGTATATTACTTGAGAATGTGAACTCATACAAATACTTGGGTATACACATTGATAACCAGTTAAAATGGGCAGCTCATATTAACTACATTGCTGGCAAGCTTGCTAGAACAGCAGGTATATTATTCAAACTTAAAAAGTTTCTCACCCCATCAGCTATGCGATTAGTTTATTTTTCTCTCTTTCAATCATATCTTCAATATGGTATCGTAGCTTGGGGAAACGCATCTTCCACACTCCTTCACAGATTAGAGGTACTGCAAAATAAATCAATCCGAGCAATAGGCAATGCACCTTTACGATCCAGACTTGACCCATTGTATCACAAGTTAAAAATAATGAAACTGTGCCATGTCCATAAATTTGAGATATTGAAACTTATGCACCAGTACTTTGACGGCAAACTTCCAACCGCATTCGCAGGATATTTCACCAAGCAGACTAATGTTCATTCATATTACACAAGATCTGCTTCACAAGCTTCCTTTCATGTACCGAGATACACGTCATGTAGAACGCAGAATTCCATCAAATACGTGGGTGTAAAGTTATGGAATAATATATCAGGTGAAATGAGATCACTATCCTATCATGGTTTTAAAAGGGAACTAAAAAAGAAATACATTGATGACTACCTTTCTTTGAATTGATCACCAAAAAATCACCTACCGGTACCTATACGGTACTGCGCTTCTTTGCAACTGACCCGAGTACTTGATTAAGTCTATATTATTAAGCCATGTCATCGGCTTACCTGTCCGCTGGGTTAAATATTCGAATCCTGTCCCTTTACTCTGTCGCAGCCAAATTGACTATAAAGTGTTATTGTCACTTTGGTCGCAACGTATCAATAACGTACCGTTATTCTACGCTGCCAAACAAAGCGTAGCTCTGCGAACGAATCAGATGTGCGTGGAGTCGTAATTTTTGAAAACCAAATTTTGGGTAAAGACCTTGCGTACATCATGTCAGGGGATACTGAAAGATTCAGTCTAAAGGGAATTATAGTTAATCGTTATATTTTTTTTACTCCACATCGATATATAACATATTTTATGTCTTTTCGTGCAACCGTTTAATTCTACGGTGCATTTCATCTTTTATGAATTTGGTCACTGATTTAAATAATAAAAAAACATGCTCGTAACCAGGATGTTATGTTTTTTTTTTATTTTAAATACTTATGATGGATATTTGGTATTTTTTGTTTTTTGAAAATGTTCTTTTTTTCTTCAAAATATTTATTTTGAAATGTTTTGGTGTTTCATTAACTTTTTAAGCTATTAACCTGAATCAACAAGCGTTTTAGGTGTCGCTGCCTGAAGACCTCTTGAGGTCCCTCGCGACTCCTGTCACACAATTTAAGTTAGTTTCCACTTGTATTTGTAATTATTTTTTTATATATCATACCATGTTTAAATTGTGTTGACGAATAAATGATGATTGATTGATTGATTGATTGAGAAAAGTGTCTGAGCGGATGCGAAAAGGGAGCATTGTTACGTCACATTTTGCATCTTGCTGATTGGCCAATGTCACGAAGTAAACAAGGAGATTGATGTTCGGGGAAAGGTCCATTATTAACATTATATGCCAAAAAAGCGGGGAAAACGTATATATAAACTATTTTTGAGTATCGTAACAATTACGGCTTTACATAATTTTCACTTTTTCGGCGTACTGGAAATCAATGCGTAAACAGGATGCCGGGAATGGCCGCAAGGTTCACCACGCAACCACGCAAAATTGTGGCAGCCATATACGCGCACGCTCACACAGAAGGTAACAAACAATTAAAGTGGCAATTCTGTTTTATCATAGTTATTACAGTACGTGAAAAAACGCAAAAAATCGTTTGAAGATTTCTCTCGAACACGAAACACCTAGTTGACGACGAAAAGTGATTATTATTCGGAAATATTTAAAAATTTGCTGAAACTATATTCGAATACGTCGAACTTACTTTGATATTCGAATATATTAAAATATTCGATTCGTTTTAAACAACCCTACCTCTATGACGCTTGCGGAACACAGCTTGAGAAACGCTTATCTAAGGTGTCGCTGTTCGGTAACCAGTATTGTTTTTTCGCGTCACCCCTCACCCTGAAGTCCTATTCTTCTACACTGCATTTGTATGTTACGCTTTTGGTAGAGAAATAAATTACTGAATATCTAATTAAATCAATATCGGCTAGTGACATTGTCAGGTGAGTCGGTTTCCGTGGATTTATAGTTTCCCCTTTTTTATATGCGATATATGATGGCCATCTGGTGGCGTAGTCGCACTAAATACTGATCGGGGAGATCCCCTGTTTGTTTAGTTACCATGGTGACGTTTTATAAACTTGTTTCGATGCAGTCCGCCTAGCGCACTGTACCGGTACCAAACAAATATTAACAGTTGTATTCAACAATATCTCCAGTCAGACAAATAAATTATTCCAGAAGTTTGTTCGGAATCATAAAGTTATAAGTCGAATTTGCTGCTGTTTAAAATAGTGGGAGCCCAAATTGCATAGATACAGTATTGATACACAAATTAAAAGTTTGAGATTGAAATTCTTATGAAAAATAATGCGAGCTTGCAGTATTTTGTAGCAAAATGTCAATATTCCCACTTATAAAAGATATGCATCATCAAATCAAATACAGTATTAATTTTTAACTGGATTCAAGGAATTTCGAGCAAAAAGTTATTTCATCCATGTATTCGAATTTAACCGATAAATCCCTAGCCACTGGCAAAATCCCAATCGAATTTATATCACATTACTTTAACACAGCAATGCATAAATATCTGTATAATATAAGTGATTGGGTCAGGAAAATATAGGCCCTATTGTTTTTGAAAAATATTTGTCAAATGGTTGCATCTTTTTTTATTATCGAAACCTGGAATACCAAAACAATAAAGACACGAAACGAAAAAATAGCTTACTTATACAAATCATATTACAAAGACAGAATATAATATACAGATTACCATCCTTAAAAAAGTCTTGTTGTTAAGCCTGCTGAATTTTACAGTCATGCCGCCGAGAAAATATGTAGTACTAGAAAAAGATCCATCAGCAGGAAATTTTTCATACCTTTTTGGTAAAAAATTATATATCAATCAATAATAAAATTCATAGTAAATGGTGAAAATGTTGACCTTAATATTAAGTTTTGTTCCTAAAAATTTTTACGCAATGCAACGCAAAGTATAGCTTGAGGTTGTAAATAAGTTGGGTGTGTGTGTGATTTCTGTCTTCCAAATGCATTTCAATTATCACGTAAGTTATTTCTGCCTGTAATGAGGTAATGTTGTGGACATTCCGCAATAGTGTTATATAACGATATTTACATATTCAATATTATTTTAGATTGATTTACTTTGAAGAAAAATAATAGGTTAGCTTTTTGACTGCTAGTTTCTTACATTCATTCGAGGCAATGTTTGTTTAACAAAAACAAAATGGCAAAAAGAGTTCACCCTGGTAAGTCTAAATTGCATATTATTCACATATTGTGACCAAGTTTTGAAGTTTTACAAAAATCTTATTTGAATATAATATTGCTGAAAAAAGATAGCAATGGAATCATGAAATTCATTTTCATAAAATATTCTGAAATGTCACTTCCGAAATAAGAGTTATTTTATTTTAAAAGGGTATTTACTATTTACAAAATATTAATTTTACAAATGGAAGAAAAAATAGCTATCGAACACACATCAAATGTTTATTTTTGTTCATTCAAAAAATCTTCTATCATATCAAATTTTATACAAAGAAAAACAATCACAAATAAATTCACCCACAATTTATCGTGATACAACATTATCAAAAAATTATGTCAGGGATTACCTAAGCTATGAGCTCTAGATTAAACTATACACTTTATATTTATATGTTGACTTATAAAGTAAATAACAGTCTTCCTTATATTGAGCTTACTTAAAATCTACTCTGAATTAATTCATTTTTTGTAGAATTGTATTAACATAAAAACTATCGTACTTTTTCTTCAGAAGGACAAGAAAATGATGCGTTTGAGCATGAAGAAGCCTTTGGAGAAATGGATGTAAAAAAAGAAAAAAAGGTAGGCAGTTTATTTGGTGAAAAATGGTTGAAGCGCTAAACTCGACTATGATGGCATCGTAGGTTAAAATTTTGAGTACGAGTCCCATGTCCACGACCTAAGCTGAGTGTAATAAATTGGATAATAAATGCTGAACTGAGAATATTCTGCTCCTTCCAAATTAGAATAGCTCAATACTGGTAGTGGCTGCTTGTGCAGAGCCTTGTTTAGAGCAAAAGTCATATAAATACATTGCATAGTACAAACTTGCTCATTCGTATTCATTTTATTATTTATATTTTTCATTTAATTTACTTAATAAATAACATCCGTTTAATATTTTCTATATTTGTAGTTCTAATGAGTTTTCTCACACCTCATTGTACTTGATCAATCAAGTTTATGAGATATGTGATTGTAAATTGAAGAGTCATTTTTTTGCAGAATGGAAACAAAGTGAAACATACCACATTCCAAGATGTTGTCAATCTTGAACTACAAGCAAAAGCCGCAGGAAAAGAATGGCATCATTTTATCACAAGAAAAAGAAAATTTTTTCGAAAAGCTGATTCGGGTATGTGTGTGGATGCCTGTGCTAAATTAATCATTAAAAATTGAAATTGATAAATACTGTGTCGTTTTTGAATCTCAAGAAAATTCCCTTCACAAGTACAATGTTTGGACTTGGATATGGTAGGTAAATACTTTAAATCAGTGTTTCCCAAACTGTGGGTCGCGACCCCGGATGGGGTTGAATGAAGATTTTTTGGGGTCGCCAACTTTTATTAAACATGTGCAAACATGTCACTAGAACTTGAAAGTGAAATTTGTGCTGGTTGGGTATTGTCAAATGCAATTGAATGAAAGTGTTACGAGAGTCAATAATATTTCCCTATTTATAGCTTTTTTGCTGATGTTACATCCGATAGTTGATCCTATTCTTTATCTTTTTGTGAGTACCTACAGGCTAAACCAGTGGTCCCAACCCCTGGTCTGCGAACCGAATTTTTTGCCAGACAGCGGGAAATTGTCTTTTTTTATTTATTTTGCTACCAATGTAATCGCTCAGTTATGGAATATACAAAGCAGCGTTGCTTTATTCGGCAATTGACCCTGTAATGGGTGTTTGACATATATGTTAATATTGAATGTCGAGTAATCACGCTTTTCAGATTTCTATCCGTTGCGAAAGCGCTTCGTTTATCCGTGCACATGTCTAAAATTCTACACATGCGTGTTTTTGTCCACATAGCCCCCGCTTAAAAAGGAATAATGTTGCATTTTCGTATTGCAATATTATCGTATTTACAAATCTAAATAAACTTTTCAAAACAGGAATCAAAAAGCATTGAGCATGTTGTATTTTCTACATCATTTCGAAGCGTTTCATGCAGTCAAATACCAAACGACATTAAAAGACGCTTAATGAGATGAGTTTCCATGCAATTTTTCCCTATTTTTCTTTCACGTTTTACTTCTGAAATAATAATGGTATATTACTTCAACATTGGAGTAAGAATAAAGACCCTGTTGGAATACACAGAAGACTTTAAATTTATGTATGTTTAGAAGAGAAAAGTATGTTCCGAATCTTACTATTTCCCCAATAAAGTATTGTACGCTTCCTCGCAATTTACCACATTTTGTCAAGTCTGTCTAGCATCCCATTATAGATTATACCGATCTCAGAAATTTTTATACCATGGTTTTCATACGATGCCAAGTGCAATCAAATCATCTGAGGGTTCCCCGTTTTCAGACGCATCGTCGGATGCATCGAAATATTTTCAAATTCTGGGTCAATGTTCAACGTCCACGTAAATGTAACAACTACGCACCTACGTTTACCAAACTTAGTCGATACACAGGTACATTGAGATAATTGAGGGGAATATATTGATTTTCAAAATTGCAGAACTTTTCTGGTTGTGGGGTCACCAGTATCTGTAGTGTGAACTGATCTCATACCTGCCATGATTTCGGGGAAAGGCCATGGGTCATCATATGATAAAGCTGTCTAGTCGACTTTCCTCTTTCTCAGGATAAATATGTAATTCCTCTTCTATTCTATCAAATTTAACTCATGTTTACACTAGTATTCTCAGAGTTACAGGGTCAAGTTATCATGGGTTATTTAGTTCTCAAGTCAAGTTCGAGTCCTAATCAATCGACCTAATTTCCAACTTGAACCCCACATATCGTAGTCGTCACTGTCAATCACAGTGATTTTAAAGTATTTTAACATTCCTAGATGTGGGTTCCATGCGTACTTACTCAAGACTGGCGGCATTCCAAGAAAGAGAACTTGGACTTGATATTGAATCAGATGAGGATGATGGACAACTTCCAGCGAGTGCACCAAATGGGGCAATATCGTCTACTTCAAAACAAGGTATTTTATTTTTTCATCGATTTTTGTATGTTCTTTATCGTGCGCAGTGTCACAGATATCTAGTCTGGTTCCTTCACTTCACAGTAATTTAATCATTTTACTCCTTACGTTTTACCGACTGAAATAAATTTGTCTAAAAAATATTTTTATTTCTAATGAATAGACTCGTAGAAACAGACATAAAATCAACATGTAGTAGATACTTTAAAAAGGCGCTTCTGATGGAAATTTTAAACTGCTGTTTTTCTGCTGTCCACTTTATAGACGCACTAATCATTGGGAATCACAGAAATATTGATTTGGTAACATGACGCTCTGTATCAAAAAAATGATAATAGCTATTGCCTGCATAGATGGGTTTCTGAAGATGTTTTTCGAAATTCTTGCGGTACTTAACGCCTCTAATATATATATACAAGTTTATTTTATACTTTTGAATGGTACTAAAAATTCCAAGTTTTATATTTTAAAAACTGCTTATTTAGAAAGACTTGATTATGGGAATTGCATAATGTTGTGACTTTTTTCAGTTATGTTATGTTGCTGTTGTCTGTGATTATGTATCATAGCGTTCATTCAAGTTCTGTATGTTCCCATATTCAAATACTTAAATATCATGTATCAAGAAATTAGAATATAATTTTAGTTCCTATTTCCAATTCACTTTAATGAATATTACCAAATTTTGAAAAGTTCAATTTATAAATATGGCAATTTTAATGAATATAAAATATTTATTCTTGAAAAACGTTTTCTTAATATTTATCTGGTGCAAAATATTTGTTTTGGCTACTTTTTTTAGTATTCTTTACCTTGTGTGATATCTACATGTAGGCTCTGTAAACACTTCCAATAAATAGAACGACACAGGGTATTCATAATTTTCAGAATGCGTCCCAAAGCAAACATGGTGATTCATCGATGTTATGATAGAATGTTTGGATAAGATGTTTACAAAGTTTCAACACTGTTAAAAGTGGTTCAATGTTAAACTAACATAGAAAACCCTCAAGTGTTTTTGCCATGTGAACGACCAAACTAAAGCGCTTTCAATTTTGTAATTCAATGTCTTTTATTTATTGGAATACTCTCCTCATATGGTTCTGAAAGAAAAGTTTTTGATTGAGATTTCTATTGTTATATTTATTCATACGGATTAATCTTTGTTACTGTAAAGCTTCATACAATACAAATACTGCTGCCTCATAGCTGAAATATATATAATTATAACAGTAATAACGGTATTCAGGTAGCATTATAGTCAGTCACCTTTTGTATTCATCAGGATAAAAAAACAAAATTGGCAGAAATAAAAATTTCTGTAAACTTTTAACTTTTCGAATTAGGTTATGAGCAAATATATTATGTTTTGATTGTTAAATTCCTTATCTGTTATTTATTTTGTTCTAGACTATTATCTTGAACACTCTAAACCATTACTTACTTTTCATTAAAGGGTATTACAGGCCATCTACTTTTTATCTATTTTCTATCAGACTTATGTTATTAGTGATTGGAAGTAAGATATAAAATCTGAAAAAACATGGAATTGCAACCAATTTTAAAATTAAATGTTTCATCCAACTTCAATAAATCTTTTTTTTTTCATTCTACTTTTCAGTTGACAGAAGCAAAATAAGGTCATTGAATAAGAAGGTGATTGGACATTTTGTATCGCTTAATCAACTTCCACATGAAAGTGCAGAGGTAGGTGTCACCTTCACATATATTCAATCCAGAAGCGGAACTGTTAGTGGTACCTGGAATACAAAGAGCTACATTTATTTGCTATCTATTCCTTTTCTGAAGGACTAACTCCTTTTTCTATGCTTGTGTATCTGTATGTATATAATGAAAGAATGCTGTAGCTGCTGTGAAGATAACTATTTTGTGTGATTCAAGAGTCTTGCTGTACATTTTTACAAATATATTTCTCTAACTTCTTTGCCTGACCAATGTCAGAATTCTTCAGGATGAACTATATCTGAGAAAGTCTGACTTCGGTCAGACGAAACGTTATAGAAATATATTCGTGTTACTTGTGCAGCAAGTCTCTTGAATCACTTAGAATAATTATTTGTTCACATGACATTTGAACCAAATTTTGCAAATTAAGCTAACACATATTCCAAACCATAATATCTAAAAAACTAGAATTTTGTTTGACACAGTAACTCATTAAACTTACAATATTTAAACCACACACAAATTATGATTTACATTATATAGATTCCATGTTTATGAAATCTTTTCAGGTAAATCTGGAGCTTTTATCATCATTATTTGCACAAGGAGCTGAGGCCAATTGCTGTGATAGATATGGACAAACGTTATTACACGAGGTAAGATTTCAGATTTTGTATATAATTTTATCTGCATTTTTTATCCGTTTTTTAGTTTCAACTGTCTACTTGATAAAATTATTCCGAATTAACAGATTTTTATCAAAGTTTAAATTATTAATTTCTAAATATTCATTAATATTTAATAAGTACGGTTGTCCAAAAAATGATAAAATCATTCTGAAATTTTCATTTTTACATTATTTTGGGATGAAGCAAAAAAGTAATACCACTCTCGCTGAATTAGTATATACAGGGTGTCTCAAACGTAAGTATACCTTTTTAATTTTGAATTGCTTTTCAGGTACTTATCATAGAGCGTTCATTTCTTCAGAAAACATAGTATGGATAAGTAGTAAAATTTAGGTATTTTTTGCATTTTTTTTATCAACCACAGAATGACAAGGAGAATAAACGAAAAATGAGGTGCAAAATTGCTGTTTGGCAGGAAGCTTATGAATCAGTAGGGCAAATTCGCGCCTCTTTAGCACAGAATTTGGAATTAATTCGGCTCTGAATGTTTTCCTCAGAGTGTCCGCTCCTTGGTCTTCCTGATCTTTGTGCATCAACTACAGACCCATTTTCATAAATTTACAATGAATTGCATATTGCTATTTGGCAAAAAGCCTATAAATCAGTGAGGCAAACTCAGCGCCTCTTTAACAGAGAATTCGGAATTAATTTCGGCTCTGAATATTTTACTTTGAGCGTCCGCCCCTTGGTCTTCCTGATCTTTGTGTGTCAACTACAGATCATCCAGTTTTCATAAATTTACGATGAATTGCATAAATTGTTCGTCGGGTAGGAGCCAAATTAATTCCAAATTCTCTGTTGAAGAGGCGCTGAGTTTACCTCACTGGCACCACATTTCTTGGTTTAATCTCCTTGTCCTTCTGTGGATTGATGAAAAATGCAAACAATACTTAAATTTTACTACTGATCCATACTATGTTTGCTGAAGAAATAAAAGCCCTCTAATAAGTATCTGAAAAGCAAATCAAAATTAAAAGTCTATACTTACTTTTGAGACACCCTGTATACCATGTATAAGCTCATAAAAATAGTTAAGTGCAATTTTTTATGCGATAAACAAGGAAAACTGCTTTTGCTGGGTAAGAACATACTCTATTTTTTGAAATTACTGTAATATAGTTTGGTATTGCACACCCAATTGATGACACCCTGGGTAAGACACTGGCGGTTTTCATACTGGTTGAGTGCAAGGGATCAAATATGCTTGATCAAATTTAGGTTTGCTGATGCAGATTTAACAAATTCATCTGTTGTTTGTGACATTCCTTGTGGGAACATTCATATTAGCTCATGAACCTGTCTATACTCATGTTTTGGTGCCTCTTTGGTATGCAATCTCAGCGATTCTGTGATCTCAGTGATTTTAGTTGGGGATAGGAACTGAATTCTGTGAGTCTTTATGAGATTAAACGCATACCAAAGTGGCTCCACTTGTTATAAGATTGAGATCACGTTAAGCAAGTGGCAACCTCCTGTTTTCCTTTTTCTAAAGGAAGTTCTGTTAACTTTTATGCATTCTATATTGTATGATATCCAGGTAGCAAGACTTTGGCATGTTGATGTTGCAGAGTTTCTCATTGCTAAAGGAGCTGATATCAATCGTTCTGATCGGTTTGTATCATTTTAAGTTATGCAGCTTGTGACCGGGAATATATTTATCTGTAGCCTACCATCCAGAGAAAATGACCTATAATTACATTAGAATTAAAGGGATTACTCTCCGGACAACATAATTTCATGTATGATTAAGCCATGTTATTGGCTTTCCCTCTTCCCCAAGATTAATATAAAAACCCTATTCCATTTATTTATCCCAGAATCTTTAACATCGAATCCTTGAAATTCGAAAACAAAAGTGTTGAGAGTTGATATTTGGATATTCTGCCCCTTTTTGTCAGACACAATGCAAATATCTTTAATTGTGTGTTTTAAAATGAGTTATGAGAATCAATTTAATTCAATACATTTTTTTATAACATTCTCTTTACCCCAACTTTCAACTAGGCAACTTTTACTTTAGTGAGATATTATTTTTAGAAGAAACAGAATTATTTTCATATTAAATTTTACTTTTTTCTCAATTTTTACTTATGTAGCTCCTCTTATTTATAGATACGGTAGGACACCAATTCATGTTGCTGCGGCTACAGATTACCCAGAAATGATAGAATTTTTTGAAAAAAGTGGAGGTGAGTTATTATAAACTAAAAATGTGAACAAGATTAATGTGGATTGTACTTTGTATATTACCAAGAAATATCACCCCTCTGACAATACCTACCCTTGTAATCTTTATGCAACAAATCAGACTTATTATGGAAAATATGTTACTTACACTTGGTGCCATTAGTATGCTCGGTGACGTTAGCCAACCATCATATTATTAATTACGGTATTTCAAGGGACATTTCAGTGCACATTGTTTGTTGCAACAATTTATGATGAGATATCCGTGTGTGAAACTGTGCAGTTTAGCTTAAGATTTCCTTATACAAATATATTTTATGTTATCATGATTGGACATAAAGGGGACCAATGGATTGTTTTTTTATGCCAACTAGGAGTACTTCTGTCGTGTTGTGAACATGGCCCATATTTTCCATGTTAAAATGAAGTTTCATATATTTATCAGCTAATATTGAGGCAAGAACAGCAGAAGAATTGCAAACTCCGCTACATTTTGCTGCTCGGAATGACGCCGTCGATGCTTGTAAAATCCTTGTTAAACTTGGAGCAAAAGTTGAAACTTATGACTATCGACGAAGGACACCACTTCATACAGCTGCAGAACTAGGTTTGTAGGTTGTATAACATTTTGGGAGACCAACTTTCAAATTAACAACACTATACTTTTCTGTATTGTGTGCAATATGAATCCGAAATAATATACTTTCAAAAATTGTCAAATTGCATTTAAATAAATCAATATAACAGTGATGAACTGTGTTTTTTTATCTGTTTTCTATTGAAATTCCAAATAGAAATTGGTAGAAATTTATCTGATGGTTTTTTTCAGTCATCTAACTTGACTTCTAGAAATAATACTTACCTAATTAATTTATTATCTATGACAGTGGTTCTCATCGGTGGTTCGTACCCCCACAACGAAAATATTTAGGGAGAGGAAGACTTTTTATTTTAAATTTTGCAATTATGAGTTGTAAACAAATTCGAAAAAGTATACCTTTTATGCTCTGGTTTGCAAAATTTAGCTAATTAATGGCAATCCTATACACTAGAACAGCGTTTCCCAAACTGTGTCCCAAACTGTGAGCATCTTCCGTGTGTTCCGTGGAAAAGGGATCAAAATTCCTACTAAATTTGCCATGGCCATGTCGGGATTTAGGAGTTGTCGCCCGACGGGCGACCATTCAGTGTTGTGTTTTTGCGACGCATTTGGCAACTCACCACGGCGCACAGGGACCGCGCCCCTTGGGAACCGCTGCATAACACTTTTCTTTATCAACTTTACCCTTTCGTTTTTTGGTGTTCCCCGAGGCGAGATAAAAAGCGTAAGTGTTCCGTGACCAAAAAAAGTTTGGGAAACGCTGCACTAAAATACAGAGTGACACAATTTAATGCATAAGAATATAGGATAGGATTTACATATTTATTTCACGAGAGAAGAGTCGATAAGAGGGCTGAGTCATATAGTGAACCACGGCCTCATACAGTTACCAATCCATGTCGGGTATGGGATTAGTTAGAAAGGTATTTGTTTGGAATGCATGAATTTGATAGTGGAGGAATTTTACGTAATTTATGCAATCCTCTCGCACATGATTATCTCCCACAGGATTCGAACCTGTAAACCCACCCACGGTAATCAGATGTGCGGTAGCGAGTGTATTCCCTCCTAACGCTCAGCACGATGTGCCACACTGCTGAGCCAAAATGTTTGTTTTCTTCAAAGGAAAATTAATGTTATCATTTATTCAAGTTCAATAGCATATTTTCCAATGTTTCCGTGTTTTTTCCAATCTTATCGATACAAAGATAAATTTCTGGCAGATAAATTCTCATATCCTCCTCATTCGAAGCAATTTCTGTGTGCAGTTCTTGTGCAAGGTTGGGAACCACTGGTCTACGATATATCAGAATTCATATATGAATCAGTCTCTTTGAAGATAGTTTTATAAAATCCAATAGTTCAATTTATTTTTTGTTAGATCGCAGTGAGACAGCTAGATGGTTGGTGGAAAATGGAGCAAATGTTGGAGTTACCGATGATTCTGGTTTGTCTTGCATGACGCACATGATAACAAAGATGGGGCCAGTGGTGAGTTGCTGTGAATGTTTTAAATATCAGAAGTTTATATTAGGCTATTGCATTGATTTTAAAACTTCTGGACTCCTAGCCATCATAGAGTTGGCTCAATGGTTTGCTCGCTAAGTGTCGAAGCTCGAAGCGATCGCTATTGTATCCCCGATTATTCTCACTCGGCGGTGTGATGAATCGTGCTAAGCATTAGTAATACGTTTCCCACTGCATCTCTGATTACCCCTCGTGGGTTCACAGATTCGAATCCTGTGGGGATAATTATGTGCAAGAGGATTGCGTGAATTCCCATTGTAGGGTGGTTCGTGTAACTGCTTCGGTTACGGCATCCGCCACCGCCATCCATGTCCATGAAACAAATAACTGGTCAACTAAACCCATACCCGACATGGACTGGTAACTGGATGAGAGGACGTGGTTCGTCGTCATATCGAGTTACCTCCATCGGTTACTTTTTATATCGGTTGACTTTTTTCAAATGATAAATTTGTATATTATATCCTTAGAACTGTGAAGTCTAGAAAAATTCTCTAGTGCTTGACTGAACTGTAGGAACTCAACTGAAAGGAATTTTAATCAAAAAACTCTTCTTCAATTTCTATTGAGAATACTGAGCTGAATAATTTGTATCCTGAAATTTGGACAATTAGGAGTTTGAAATTTCAACTCCCAACTCTCTGAAGAAATCTATATTTCTACTTCAGTTCCAACTCCCAATAATTTGAAAATACAATTCCAATATCACAGCTCTGATTTATAACACATTTCTAATAACATTATAATATTTCAAATTTTTGTAATGTACGTTTTACCAAAGTAAAAATTTAGTTTTGTCAATTCTCATACTCTAGTTCGGCATTTATTTGACAGGCAAGAGATGCATTGGACACATTTCATAAGATGGATAGAACGAATAGAAGACAATATTTTCATCTGAATTTGCTGGAGCATGATATAACTGGTAAAATTCTAGATTATCATCGATCATCTCACACGCAATGTCATTAAATTTTGCAATTTGTAGAGTCACACCTGTGTGATAGATGTTGTCCTTCACAGTTGCAATTAACTATACCATGATATCATCATACATGTAATAAACTTAGTTATACATGATACTTTTGAGCCATTATTAATTAAATTCAATTCATAATGTATTAGTACAATTTTAATCAAAGTTTAATAAATTCGAACCATGCCCTGGCAAAAATATTAATTTCTTTTTGAAATGCAGCAGAAGCAAACAAAACATTCGGAAATGCTCCAAAAAATAGTATGAATAACTAAATTACCATTGTTGTTAGTATTTCAACATATCTTTGGTGATCTGACTACTCTAAGATCCATTATTTACTTTGACTTTTTTGTTACCTCATCATATATAATCTCTGACAAAAGTGCCAGTTAACCAAGTATTTGAAGAAATTAAAACGTGTACCACCAATATCAGATCTTGTTTCATACCTTTAGTGAATTTTGTCTTTCAGTCAATACATTATACCTTATTTAGTTTTTGTTATATTTTGTAAGACGATAAGCGCATTACAAGATCCAAAGAACAAGGTATGCTGCAAACGAATGATAATATATGTAACCATTACTGCTTTTATACTAAAGTAGTTTTAGACTAACATAGTATTGTCTAAAATGAAATAATTAACAATCAACATTGCTTCTATAGACATTTTATATGACTAACCAATAGTATGTGTTAACCATGCAATTTGCTCTGATAATGCTTGCATTTGGATATCTTTGTCATGAAGTTATCTTGGTATATACATATTTTGGCTGAGTAAAAATTTGAAGTTTGAATTGAACTCACGACTTTGAGGAGTTGAGAATATGATCCTGGCTACATAGCCTAGAGATGCATTGTCTTGGTTGTGGAGGAAGTTTTTGATAAGATGCATCGCAACCAAAAGAATTTCTGATAGAACATAGCAGAAGGCCAGTCATGCAATAAATTCTATATTGTAGTTTGTAGCTTCATATGGCAATAATTCAAAATTGTATATTTTCGATAAATTTAACATTAGCTTCAACGAAACAAAATTTTCTGTGCTTGATTGCTGTATAATCATAATTTAATTTATGCTAACGTAATTCTTCTATGTTGTTAATGTTTTTTACCCCTTTTCTCTAAAGTGTCTCAAATTTCAATATCTTCAAATAATTTTTTATTCTATTTACCATGATTAGGTATATTAATATTTTCTTAGTACGTTGAATAATTCCACTGGTAATTCAACTTGGGTTCAGAACCATTTGAAAAAATATCGTTGGATCTGGGGTTGTAATAAGAACTTTATGGCAAAACTGATTTCTGGTATACACTTTTGAAATGGTATTGGTAATTTCACCTGTCAGTTGAAGATATGAGAGACCACTTATCTATATAGATATCACTTATCTATGCCTTTAAGTTGGTGGATTTGTATGTTTATTTGTATATCAATTTTCCCAAAAGTGTCGATCATCAATGAGTATTAGTACTTGTTAAGCCAAGTAAATTTGTAGTCAATTCTATAAGCCAACACCCAAAATAGCATTATTTTGCTATGAGCCTAATTCAGTGTATAGTTTTGTAGTTTGTTGCATGAATATAATTTATAACACCTAGTTTGGTTTAATTCAGCATTTTCAATTGCATCTGCGTATTTTTACCTATTCACTTTTTTATTTGGTCATTGATGTTTATTTTAATGATAGGTCAATAATCAAAAGGTAATTTCTCAAGGTTTTTAACCAAAATGTCTTTCCCGGTTTATCATGACGAAAGGATCTCTAGTATGATCACTTGACACAAGATTCTAATCTGCAATAAAATTAATTTTGAATTGATGATTATGGTTATTTCTTTAGATTAAGTTAATTTTTCGTGTTGCATTTGATTGCTAATTTTTCATATTACCTCTTGAAGCATAATTTCATTATTTTCATGAGTTCATGTTCTATCATTTACATAAATTAAATATTGGGCTAAATTTATTGAATATAATATTATAATGACTCCTTTTTAGGTATTCACGGGAGCCTTGCGAAAACCCCGGTAAGAAATTTATTTGTATATTTATGCTGTCAAGATATGATATGATGTTGTATAAAGTTTTTACTATTTGACCTGGGGAATATAGATGATTTTAACTATGAATTATGGTCATGGTCCATTTACCAATCTAGATTAGAGTCTTCTAACGTGTGGGTCGCGACCCAGAGTTGGTTTACCTGAAAATCTCCTTTCCTCGCTTGTTTAAAAAAAAAAATTTACGTTTTTATTTTTCGATAAGATTTATTTTGTATTTGTATTTATTATCGGACTTTTGCTTGATAATATTTGTATATCAATTCTCTATAACAGGGTGGTCCAAGATTGGCAGCTCCGCGGGCCACAAAATTACTTCTGCATTGTTCGCGGGCCACAATAGTGCCAAGAACTTCGCTCGTTTAGTTGCCTCAGCAAGCCATAACACTAGTCAATTTAGTGACATTAATGATGCAACAATAGGTCAAAAGATTTTTTGGTTAATTTTATGACGAAACAACACGAAATGCGATTTTTGATTCTTCTTCGAATGCGACAAGGGCCACAGATAATGAATCGACGGGCCACATGTGGCCCGCGGGCCTGGGTTTGGACCACCCTGCTCTATAATTTCCTTATAAATGGAATATCAGAATAACTTTAGAGATACGGTATTTCTGGAATGGATCTTGAAATTGAAAGATTCCTACACAGTCATATGGTGTTCAAATGGTGTCTGAAACATATGCTATTTATAATCTCAACATGAAATTCATTTCCAACTGTTTGCTTTTGGTATCACGGTTCTAGTATTTTCATAGTTTAGACATAGAGAATATACATAGGAATATACATAGGGAATATACAATAAACAAAAGTATTTAATTTCTGATTTTTAAATCTTAAACAAGAGATTGAATATGGTAATTATAGTATTTAATTTGTTTCAGCTGCAAGTTATAGTCAGTTACAAACAACTAGATATTATTATGCATCCGGTCATTTTGAAAATGCTTGAATTGAAATGGAGCAAGTTTGGAAGGTAGGCTGTGTAATTTATTTAATACGTTACATGTGTAAAATAAACTTTAAAACAGAGCTGCGGAATCGGGGATCATTATGCGAGCTTCCCATAGGAATGCTTTGTCAACCTAATTTTTCGGAGTTTCTTTAGATAATTTCGACTTTGATTTTATTGCCTTGCAAAGTCGGAAATTACAACTCCCAATTCTGGGAACTATAAAATTTCGACTCAACCATGGAAAGTTTGAAAATACAAATCTGTCTTGAATGAGACTTGCCAAACCTAGACTCTGACTCCACATTCTGATTTCCAACATTTTCATTTTTCAAGACCTTGAGGTGTACTTTTAAACTTGAAGATAAAAAAATGAAATTTTACATTTAAGTATTTGTATTCCCATGCCAGATGTCATTAAACTTTAAGAAATAGCTTTAAAAAGTACTGGCTCATATGAAGAAAGAAATTGAATACATTAGGCCAGTTCTTCTGAGCATTTTTTGTCTTTCAAAAATCTTCATGACTTTCATATTACTTTTTATTGATTCAGAAATGCAAGACCCGTTTTCACCCCCTAAATACTGTTAATATGAATATACACTTCTTTGAAGGCTTCTTAAGGCTATAAGCTAACTTCGAATTATAGCAAGGGACTATTATGCCTAAAATAAGAATAAGTTTATTTTGGCTTTTCTTACGATTTTCTATGTCAGCATAGTTTGGATTTAACATTCAAAAAAATCATCCTAATAATGTATTTTTGCAGGATGGGCGCAATCAAATTGACTTGTCTCAATTTACTCTACATATCATTATGGACAGCTCTCGCTGTTGGTGTTCCATGGCAAACAAGATATTTATATATTCTTCCTGGATTGGTAAATTATCGTATTTGAAGTTTAGTAAATTTTAATCAAGACCAGATAGAATTGTCCCCTTTAGCATCAACTTCTAACTTATTAAGCAATTATTCAAAATAAACTAAACTACAATTCATATGCCTCCTTATATTCAAAAGAAATGAGATAGCAGTAGTGTGCAACACTCTCAATGTTGAATATAATTTTTTTTTTAATTTAAATTTATTCTTAATTATTTACAGGATGTTTGGAGAATTGTTATCTGGATATTTGCTTTTGGAATGACATTGTATTATATTGGAATTGAAATTAATGAAATAATAACATCAAGACGAAGGTTTCATAAATGGAAAGAATGGAGAGTTAATCATATTAATAAAGATATGAGATATACACATCCAAAATGGCCAGAGGTATGTTTTTATTTATGCAAAATGCACTGGTTTTCAGGTTGCGCAATGTTATTTACGTAGCAGAATGGATGCTAATTCAATTCAAATTTTCTGAAAAGCTAAACTATCGATACATTTGAATCCTGTTGGTATAATTATGTCAGAAGGATTGATGGACTTTATACCATCTGCTGGGTGACTCACGTAACTGCTGCTCGTAACTTGAAATTTTGGACATTTGGAGTGAAAAATTTCCTAATTTAAAAAGTTGGAGTTAGAGCCAAGAACAACTTGAAATATCAATTTTAATTGCCCAAAGTCGAATGGCGGACTAGAGTCAAAATTTTCTCATGTTGGTTCCTGTATGACTCAGAATCGGATGGAACATATTTATGACTCTTCTTTTCACCTTTGAGTCATTCATATATTTAACACAATAAAGCGTCATTCTTAACATTATTTGACGAGTTTTATGCATATCCAGGTGTAAAGGCAAGAGACAAAATATTTTAATGATGCTATATTCATTTTTCAGGAAAGGAATTATCTTGAAAGAGAGATTGATACACTTGATGATATGTTACCATCATATTTCCAAGATTTCTGGAATTTTTTTGATTGGACTGTTTACTTTCTAAATTTTGCAGTCCTGGTAAGATCTTTCAATATTACAATTATCAATTACCGGTACATAATAATATATATACCAGTTCTAACATCATTCAGGTGTAAGTTGTGTTCGATGTTCATACGAAGAATTATCTAAAAACTATAATATCTTCTAGTGGTAATGGACGATAAATTTAAAAAAGACATGGTCAACAGTTAGTGGGATTCCACTTCCAGCATCAAGTCCAAACAATTAACTATTTCCCATACCTGGCATGGACTAGTAACAAACAAGAGGTCATGGTTTGCCATATGAATATGCCATCTCAATGCTTTCTCTCCCTGAGATAAATTTGAACATCCTATCCTTCCGCCATTCATATTCTATGGAATTATTTTTCAACAATTCCCATTGTATAAAATAGCTGTCTGTTCTTTATTTGCTCATATCAGAATAAAATACTTACCGGTATGTAATATAATTACTTATAAAATGAGAATAATAACAAACAATCGGATTTGTACATTTTTTTTAAATTCATTGACGACTGTTCTTTGTTATTCCAGGTCACTCATGTATTGAACATCATAGTATACAATGCTAACAATCGTCCTCCACCTTGCTGTGGTGAAAGTGGTTGTGATATTACTGCTGAACAGATTCAAAATGGAAGTAAGTTTTATTGAGAGTTATCTCTGAATTGTTCTTTCTTGTAGATGTTTAGTAATACATTGATGCATTGTGCAGAAATTGTTGACCAATGCCTTACTTTTTTCATTCTGCATATGATATCATATTTATTTTACTAAAAGAAGCCAAAAACTGATAGAACATTTGAAACCTTGACATATCATACAATTACCAGTTAATGCAAGGCATTAGTGTAAGGCAGTGGTTTTCAACCTTCATGGGGGAGCGGAACCGGAACCAATCGAAGTTCCTTGAGCAATAGTTTAACTGTCTATTACTATTATTGTTCGCATTGTATAACCTATCAATTATAGTGCCAATGGCAAACTCCGTAGATATTTGAATATATTTAAACAGTATTCATATATTAATATATCCTCTTGGATTTGAATGGGAACTTTTGGAACCTCTGGACTGTATTAACAGAACCCTAGGATGTCACAGAACTCCGGTTGAAAACCACTGGTGCAGGGTGTCCCTTTCACCAAGAAGTTGCATTATAAATAATTAATTTTGAACTCCACCATTATACAAAAATCACAATCAGCAAATTTGTCAAAACTATAAATGAGGTTGAGGTTATGAGACCTAAAAGTGTTACATAGGCAATCCCACCTTGTGATATGGAACTCAAGGGCACCATGGTTTTGTTATTTTACAATTTTTAAGGTATATTTTATTCTAAAAGGTTTAACTGATAAGGGATCATGTGCACTTCCTAATGCATATGTTAACAATGCTTGTCTGAGTGTCTGGGTCAACAGAATATTTGTCTTGAACATTATCATGATGTGGCTGAGACTGATGAAAAATATGAGATCTTTCAGGTACCGTAATTATGTTGGTATTTTTTTTAATGAAATTGGTAATAAATGACTTTTGATAAATTTGATGAAAACGCACTCAAATGAAATTTTTTGGGTGCTCCAGAAGTAGCAATATGGAGGTATCTGATTTTGTTCGCCTACTTTACATCAAGTTGTGTACAGGGACTGACGTCTAATTCACTTCGCTAACACAGACAGACCCCCAACTAGTATTAAAACTAATATAAAAAAGAAAAATCGGAATAAAATTATGGCCTAACCCTAATCTGGTACACATATTACGAGAGTACCATTTTTTGAAGCTCGCCAGGTGGCGCATCGTGCTAAGTTCTAGGAATACGCTTGTGATTACCCTGCGTGTGTTTTTGGTATTTTTTTATTTTATATTGAAACTTTTTATGTTTTACAGAACTCTTGGACCGTTTGTTGTAATGTTGGGCAAGATATTCTATGACATTCTACGCTTCCTATTCTTATATTTTGAATTTTATATTCCGTACGCTTGTGCTTTTTGGATGATATTTGGTAAGCTATGTTTCTCTGTTGTTTTATGAATGCCTAAAAAATTTACTTTTCTATACAGAACAGAAAGCTGTTTTAGAGTAATCATTATCAAATAATCATCTTTTGTGAACTTTGACTTTTAGAGAATTTCTGTGAAATAATTATGTTAACATTTTTGGATTTCAAATTATTTGGAAATGACTTAATTTTTATTTTTTTTATGACGCTCACTCTTGCCTTTTGCTCTAAACAAGGCTTTGCACAAGCAGTCAATCATATCTTATGATATGAAAGGAGCTACCGGTACCTATTTGGAAGAACTGCAGTCTTTTCGGTTCAGCATTGCCCACCCAAGTTAAAACACCCTAGGTGAGCCTGGGGCATGACATTTGAACTCGAACTGTGTAATCTGTGATACCAACACAGTTGGGCTTTTAACCATCAGACCCTATGTACATTAGGTAATAGGTCAAGAACTATGTCAATCAAGTCAGTAATAAGTCAAGAAGTCAGAATATATTTCAAACCTACTTTCAAAATGTGAGGTATGGGTGTATTTCTGTTAAAAGTTTCATGACTCGTATATATATTTGAGCATAGCTCTCTTGTTGTAGTTACACTTTCAAAGAAAAGAATTTTATTCTACACAAACCACACTTAAATTCATGAAATGATACACTGTATTACAGGAGATGAACCAAGCATACAAAGCATGAGCACTGTGGATCAAATGTTATTTTCATTGTATCGAATCACATTGGTTGATGAATATGAATATGATCAAATGCATGCCTATGATGTTGTCATGACCTATATATTATGTGGAACATTCCTTGGTATCAGTGCCATCTTATGCATTAATTTATTTATTGCACTGTTGTCTGATACTTTTCAGAGGTAATTGCATTGAATCCAATAAATTTTTTTTTCAAATTTTAAGTTGGACCACAGTTTTCACATTTAGTTAGTATGAATACCATATTGTTTAGCATTGATGAAAAAAATATTGACTCTCGAGAGATTTGAAAATTTTTTTGACTCCAACTCCAGCTACAATCTATCAATTGGTTCCGCGGTGTGCAGCATTGTGCTAAGCGTTAGGAATACCCTCGCCACTGCATCTCTGATTACCGTCCATGGGTTCACTGTTTCAAATCCCATGCCGTGATAGTTATATGCGAGAGGAATGCTGGACTCCTCGCCGCCGTAGGGTGGTTCACGTAACAACCGCTGGTCGCTTACAGCTTCTTCCACCATCAAGTCCATGCTTCTATAACAAATTACAGCTTAAGTAAATATGTAATTTCTAGCCTATGTAAATCGTATCCTATCTTATCAAGGAAATCAAATTTCGACAATGAATTTCAACTTTGGCATATGCAAGTCTCATTTAGTAGAATGTTAGAAACGCTTGGTCAACATACTTTTTCGTTTGAGTAGAAAAGTTTGCTTTGTTTATCCCCATAAAAACTTCTGGCACCTAGTTCTTTCGACTGCGGCTCGACCCTGACCCCAATGAAAACATGCCAAACTCAGCAGCCCTGTAATTCATATTCGAGTATAATTTTGATAATTATGTCCAGAGCTTTTAGTTTTTAATAGAATTCAAAACTAATACAATTCACTCAATCCTTGGTGCTTTTATTACTAATTTTAAGTTAATTTTTTTAGAAAAAGTACATAAATAGAATATTTGAAATAAAAAATAAGAAACAAAATAACATTTTAGCTTATGCAGTATTCTGATTATAAATATTTGGTACTGTTATTCGCTATGTATCTTTTTTAGAGTATATGATAATGCGAACGCCAATGCAGTAATGCAACAAGCAATTCAAATTCTGTCAATTGAGGAAAACTTGAGTCATGGACAAAAGGAAAGATTCAGGAGGTCGGTTTGTATATTATTGAATGATTTAAAATATGATAATCTATCTATTTATTGAAGACTGATCTGCTCGGCAGAACGTTGCATCGTGCTAAGCATTGGGAATATGCTTGCCATTGCACCTCTGATCACCCTGCGAGGGTTCGCAGGTTCAAATCCTATGAGGGATAATTATGTGCGAGATGATTGATGGGCTTCGGTTGGTTATGGCTTTCTCCACCTTCAAGTTTATGCGTCTGAAAACAAATAACTAGCTAACTAATCGCCATATCCAACATGGACTGGCTACCCGGACGAGAGGCTGTGGTGCGCAATACTATTAAGCTGTCTTATTGGCATTCCTCTCCTCGGGATAAATATGAAAATCCTATCCTTTTCGCAATGAACTTACTATGCTCATTTCTCGTATATTGACGAAAAATTGAACATTTGATATACTAGCAACATGGTCCAATCGTGATTTGAAATTTTGTTTGAAAATAAATTATCACGGAGTTATTAAATCGATTACTTTTCTTTTAGTTTCATTCAAAAGAAATGCAGTCCATTAGAAGAATATTATGACGATGATTTAACAACATCCCAGGAAGATAATCTGAAAAAAGTTACTTTTCAAATCAAAGATCAAATGGAAGAAGTAATTGAACATTTAAGACTTGATGAAAAAGAAAGACAAGATCTGGTAAATATAATAATTATTGATCATAAAACACATTCAGAATGTTTATAATTATTTAGATGAGGTGTTCAGCCCTTTGCCACGAACAAGGCTCAGTATTAACAGTTGATGGTATGAGAGAGCTACCCTATTTTTTGAAAATATTTTCAATTTGATATTGCCCAACCTCTTTACTGTATCCTCTAATTCGATTGTAAACTTTATTACCCATGGACCTAATAATTGATCTTCCTCCCTGGGAGCGATTCTTGCTTTATACAAACTTGCATGAAAAATTTGTTGCCGCACTGGTTCCAAATTCTTCATCTTACTTATTAATATTCTTCTTACTTATTATTAAATTATATTGGATTTTAGTAAAGTCATGACAAATATTAGTTTTGTGTTGTATCATAGTTTCTTCCCCTAAGAAAGTACAGGGTGTTCATACAGTCATTTAATTAGATAAAAGATTTGTGCAACTAAGGATCAGAATATAAAGATGAAGTAAAGGAATTTTGGTACTCCCATAATTAGTTACCTCCATATTGGTACACACACTTCCGGAGCGCCGAAATTTCAATAAAACAAACCTGGTTAAGATATATTGAGAAATGACTTTGTGACAAAATTTCGAATGTAACAGGACCTTATTAAGTTTTTTTATCAGATAAGCATACCATTAATGAAGCATATCATTGCATCTAATTGCAAGGTATATTCCAAGTATAAGGCGTGACAAATTGTGGTACACAGTTTTCGTTAGGCTGCTACCATACTTGTTTTTCTATATTCCTCTGCCTTGGATTATGAAGCAAGGTTTATGGACGTTAAAAACTATTTTAGTTATGTTTTTAACAGGTGTTTAACGATTCAAAGCAAAATCAATAATACATAAAAACAATAATATCAAAATTTGTTTTCTAAATATTGTAGTTTTTGTTGAAAAGTTGATTTTTTGACTAGGAGAATCATCTTCATGCTGATATTTTGTCTTCAACTGACCATGTAATACAAAATCTGAGACCACGAAGTCGAATGGTATATTGTTGTCCAACTTGATACTAACATATCACATGTTTGCTCTTGTTATCTCAATGCAATCATTTACTAAACAATTTATGAATATTTTTTTCTGAACAGTTGGCAAACTTGATTTTTGCTTCGAAATTACTTTTTTATTTCAGCGATGCAGTAAAATATAAAATAAGTTTTATTCTCTAAAATTTGATTTGAATTATGATTTTACTCTAAAAATAGCAAATTTTACAGCCAAATAACAGTGATTTTAATTTGAGTTCTGAATTGAATTTAAATCGTTCGAACATACACCATAATTCTATCTGATTCAATACTTTTATTTTGATACTAGTTAAAAATTTATATTGATTTAATAGTTATATGGCTATTTATGGATATTCAATGGTTCATGTTCGGGATAAATATAAATTTTGGGCTTGGTGTATGCGTGTGGTGTTGTCTCATTTTATTAACCTCTACATTTTTGTATTATAATGCTTTCATACTCATTCATTCTAGCAACTAACACATTTTTTCAACTTTAGAAAATTTGATTAATATCTTATGCTTGACGGTTGCCCCATTTACTAATTACTAGAAACAATCCATCACACACTGATTTTAGTTCTCAGAGTATGTAGGTGTGAATAGTATATGGCAGGGGTAGGAAAAATGACGATTTTTTGTCTCACAGAAATATCTAAAAATCAAGTAGAAATTCTATAAATACCAAATTACTAGTAAGTAAGATGGTACCTTTTTGTCAATGATAGGCTTCAAAATTTTAAAATTTCATTTTAGATTGGATAAAACTGTTTTGATTTATTTGACAGATAATTGTTGGCTTTTAATTTTATACCTGGTTTGAATTGCAAATTAAAACTAATACAAATTAAAAATATATTTTATATTATGATTCTGACTATGAGATCTTACTTGATAACTGTCACCTATAGATTATAGGGTCGCCTTGATTTACTTTAACATATTTTTTTGTTTAACTCAAATAAAATTAATTTTTAATTTTTAACTCAAAATAAATGTTTCAACTATTGCGTAGAATTTGAAAAACACATAATCTTAACACAATATTTTTAAAGTAACAATTTATATACATTCAGGATGAACGAAACTCATCTCGATTCAGTCAATATCAAGATTATGGTGAGTGATTTTGATTCATTATATTTTTCTTTTAGATACGTCGTTTACCGCATTAGTCCTGGCTATATCTCTTACCGGGTAAATCTTTTTTACAATGGAAAATAAGCTCTTGTATATTTACTTCTTTTGATAGTAAAAACGATCATCTTTTAAACCAGGGGCCAAAAATTTGCGTACTTAGACTGGCGGGTCATGTAAGTGTGACGTAAAAAGTTACAATTTATGAACAAAATTTTATTTACAGTGTTACAAAAGGGGAAATTGAAAAACAATAAGCCTTGTGCCCAAAGTAAATTTATTCGCAATCTCAACTAATCCCTTAAGCTAATTTTTTAGCTAAATCATCAAAATTTGGTTTTAGTTTAGTTGTGGCAGCATCAGGCGAGCCAGAGTGAATTACCAAACAGTCCGAATTTGGCCGGCGGGTCGTAGTTTGCCCATGTGAATTCTAAATCATCTTATGCAAGTTTTTATTTTATATTTTGAGTTACGCCTCATTTATTTTATTTTATACTACAGATAATAAAAAAGGAATGATGGGAAGAACTGGAATTGCTAGGTTGTCATCTGATATAACCAATATCGTCAGTACAGTCAATAATATGCAGGTTAGAATATAGTGAAAAATTGATTTGGTTTCATTTACAGGCTTTCTCTGTGATTGCCTTGTTGTACAATTGGCCCACGAGACGAAAAAGGTTGGGCAGGCCTGCCTTACCGTATTTCAATTTGAAGTTCATGTAACTTTTTATAAATAAACTAATTGTATTTCAAATATTTTTCAGTATTTTTATGTTTAAAAGCTGGAAATTTATGAAGTTATTAAAATTCTCAACCATGTAATCAAATCCAAAACCAGTCAAAACATACTATTAATCAAATTCTAAATTGTGGTTTGGCCATGATAATAATCTTGAGAAGGGATCTGATGTTATGTCCTATAGTTTTCAACAATTCCTTTATTGCAATATTGATAGACAAATTTAGGAATTGCTTAGAAACATAAAAAAAATTTTTTTTTAATTTTTATGTATATACCATAAAATAATTTTCAAATATTATCCGCATCAAAATCAATCACATAAAATATTTTTGTCACCATATTTTCTTCTACTTTTTCGAAAATATGTTTTGTTTCTTTTAGGAAGGAAATGTTGAAACTTTAAATAAGATGCAGAAAGATTTAAAAGAAATCAAAAGTATTCTTCGTCATTTGATAAGTTCAGAATCTCAACAAAGAAAACCAAGAAAAAAAGATTCGGAAAGTCATCAAAAATCAGGCAGTCTTCCACCAGCTTCCATTATAGATCCACCAGTGTAAGTTTTTTATTTAAATACTTGTTTTGAGAACACAAGTTCAATTATTTATTATTAAGTTTTGATTTTTTTTTCAAGACTGTATATTTCTAAAAAAAAGCAGTTATGTGCACCACCCTACGATGGTGAGGAGTCCAGCAATCTTCTCACATAAAATTATCCCCCATGGGATGCCCCAGGGTAATCAGAGATACGATGGCAAGTGTATTCCTAATGCTCAGCACGATGCGCCACCCGTTGCGCCATGTAGCCTACTGATAATAGTTGGTTATCCATTACTTCAATCATGCGTGGTTGAGATATATTGATCTGTTACTGGGTTAATTTACGGCTCTGATACCAGGCTTGTAAATTTTAGAAATACATTATAAAGGTCTGAGGTGATTACAATTTTTCAATATAACTCCTTTGTTATTGCTTTAATGTTTTGTTTTTTGTTTCTTCCCAGCTTCCCTCTTGAAATTCGAACTCTTCCTCCAATACAAGACCTTCGACAAAAAAGATCTCAAGAATTTGAGCCAATGTATGTAAAACACTTCATAAAATTATGGATCCTACAATTTTTATTGTGTTATAATATCTTTTATAATCTGATGTGAATTGGACTTTCTAATGCCGCGATATATCTTTACTGGTTTGTTCTGTAAAGACTATGATAACGAATGCAAAAATTTTAAGAGTTTTTTGAAATAAATTGCTGATCTCTAATCTATGAATTTCAACACCTGTGAGTACTGAAAATTTCTGTCTCAAGGATATAAGAGCCCTTGGTACATCAGTCTATGTTCTGTTATGACTACATTTACTTGGGGAACTTGGTCAACTTGAGCCAACTTAGATGTGGAAATGTGTTGGATTTGCAGAAAATGCTGAATACTATGGAAATGGTGATTAATAAAGACATAAATGATTTATAATGATAATCTTTATCTACCCTGCAGAAGACACCCATCATTGGATAGAGTGACAGCAGAAGATGTAAGAAGATCTGTTGAAGATAATTTATTGAGAAGATTGATTCATTCATCACAAGATTCAAGAGCAAACAGAAAGTAAGATGCTTTTATAGTTTCTGTTGAATACTATGTATGTTTAGTAATTTTAAATGAGTGTGTACACTCAAGGTTAAAAGATAGTAAAGTATATTGTGTTTGCTGTATATTTTTCAACTCAATCATCAGAATATACAGCTGAGCATCGCCATATGGATAAGCCGTCTTATCGCTTTCCTCTCCCCTGGGATAAATATGTAAATCCTATCCTATCCTATGTATGATGAGGATTCATACTGTATCAATCTTACTGTATCAACTTATTTTAGGAAATTAGAAGTATTTCTGCACACTCTCACGAATATATTTTCGTCTGATTAATGTCAAACTTCCACAGACAAGCATAAGTCAACATGTTCAACAGCATGACATGTACGTTAATTGGTTCAGCATGACATTTGAATAATAAAATTTCTAATGATTGTAATCTTTATTTCCTTGTGAATTCCCTATAACCAGCAATACAACTTTAATTTGATTTCAGTGCAAGACAAGATGACTTAGATTTTGAGATGACTCTGTTGCCTGGGTCACCTGCTCGAAGCACACCGAGACCAGACCTGTCAACCAGTTCAAGAACGCCACCACCTAATAGAACTGTGGCATTTCAGGATCCAGAACAGTCTGATTTGAATATTGGAGACAGGGGATCATCAAATGTGTAATTTTTGCATGTGAACAAATGGTAGATGTGTTAGTTAGAATAGTGTTTATATTAGAAAACTAGATTCAGTGAAATAATGCTCGGTTCTGAAGTTTATATGTTACATCGACTAGAATTTTTAAACCCAAAATTGATAGACCAGGCAACATTTTTTCGTTCCAAGTTCTTCATCTTTGGTGTGAAAAATGTTTTCATATTTTTTTTACGATGCCCATTCACGCCGATCACTTTCAACAAGCCGATGCAGCCACTGATACCTAAAAATATGTGAAGGGTGTGCCAAGAAAGGCCATGGCACCCACAAACTGTGTGATGGAATCGTCTAATCTATATTCGCTTAAATCAAAAGCACATTGTTCATGATCGTGAATCTCTTTTCACACCCGATGAACTACTACTATTTGGTAGGCATTGTTACACCACAATATTGAAAATATGTAAAAGATATCCAGTTTTTGAAATCTAAATTTGCTGCTTTAAAATATTATTAGATAGTTTTTACTAAAATTTCTTTCTTACTTTTGTGTTGTTACAAATATATGGGATTTTACTCTGTTACACGAAATTTGTTATTGTTTGTGATATATTCCCCTATTAAACATTGCTTTAGATTTAGTCATTTAGTCATTAGTCATTTAGAAATTTGACTTCAGAAATTCAGTATTTCAAAGCTCTATTCCCATTACCTAAACAGTCAAATTTGGTTTAAGCTTGTTTTATTTTTTCGTTTCAGAATTTTCTTACAAATTTATAACAATAATTTTTAGATACCGGTATATTAGATTTTCACTGATATTTTCTTATCCGTCCTGATACGCACACATACTATTATCACAATTAGGAATGTACTAGAGATTGAATTCAATGAAATTAATACCTCAATTATGATTTTTGCCCTTCATTTTGTTTGAGATTATTTATATTCGATTCTATCCCATTTTAGCTTGCCAGATACAATTTGTTTTTACAACATAGGTATCATTAACTTCTCCATTTCTCAAGCATAGCCCATATTATGTATGGTGGTAATAATGTATGGTATGGCATCTAAAACAATTTTCGCTTCTATAACTTAATTAATTTTTTTCTGGTTTGGACAACTTCAAAACATTAATAGTCTCATTTAAGTGATTGATTTATAGAAAATGAAATATTGAACAATAAATTAATAAAAAATTGTAATAAAAAATATTTTGCAAGTAGATATTATTGGGTATTTTTTTTTATATTTCATGGTTGTGATCACACTGTTCAACAAGGCAGGAATACTTTATTGAATACATTATTGATTAATCTATCGTTAATTCTGACGCTAGGTGTATAAAGCATCGCGTCTGATGTTTTATTTAACAAATTAAATTTTTTGCACATGCTTTATTGCACTATACACATTCTTCCAATTTATGCTTTTATATTTTTTTTTTCGAACTTCTTGTGTTTAATTTTATATAATGAAATTGATCACTGTAATATTTTGATTTCTTCAATTGCTCTATTTATATGATAATTGTAATTATGAATACTATGGAAATAATTTATATTGCTGGCATATTATGTTCCTAGTTCCATTTTCCGCTAATAATTCGACTGATAATAAATTTATATTTTCCATTTATAAATTGATTGAAAAGGATATAAAAGATTTAGGCTATGTGTTGAGAGAAGGATCAATGACTCCATCTGTATGTGTAATAGTCTTTATAATTAAAATTTCTGATTACTGATAGTAAGTACACAGTCAGGGTAAAACTACCAAAAAGGCAAGACATATACAAGATCTTTTCAACATTAGTATTTATCGGCTGGTGCGAATCAGCATGGAGCCTTAACCTCGATAAGGTTTCAACTTGACGAATGGTTGGAAACAGCAAAGCTTGTACTGAGAGAGAATAATCAAATATGAAGATTGTTGAAATCAATGCTATTTCGCTAGGGTCATTTACTTAACGAGTCATTGCCATGCATCCAGATTCCAGAACATTTAATCGAATTACCCTTTGCCTGCAATGATGACAGGACGACAGGCTGTGGTTTGTATATGATTATACTGTTCAATTGAATTTACTCCTCTGGGATGAATATGACCGGTTCTATACTATGGATGCTCTACCGCTTGTTGACTCCAATATTCTATCTGATCAACTTTAGTTATTTCAAAATATTGAACTTGAAATAGGGAGTTTAGTTATATTTAAATGTTTAATTAGTGTTTGTAGACATGCGGTAGCCATAATTAAAACTATTTTGTATCTTAGCGGCATTGGATTCAGTTATTTTTTAGAAAGTGTAGCGTTACTTATGACCGGAAAATGCTTTGTAAAACCAAAAATCCTTGTACCTCATTTGTCTTTTTTATTCACCACAATAGTTAGCATAAAAGTTTTCTACATATTCAATCAATGAAACTGGATAGCCAAAAGGGCTTCCGTCGTGAGTGGCGCACGTTCAGCTCTGTCGGGCTGTTCGTGTGGAATCGCTATCAAGAGATTCCGGACGCATAATTTTTGTGCTCTTGTGGCTGCTGGCTGTCGTTTACACCGGCGCCCTAACAAAAAAATCATATGAATCAGATTCGAGCATGAATAATATTGCGTTAAGGTGGTGTTTCCACGGCTTTGTCCAAATGCTGCTTCAAAATTTACACTGCTTACACCTTTCCCTGAGTATTTAATATTGATCAAATGTTTAATTACGTGGTAGGGGGCGACCCGGCTGCCGATTAACCACTGCTGACGCCGGTATGGACTTCGAACCGTTGCGGCAGCGCAGTCCTGATGCAAACACATACGAGAGAAATCTTTTAGTCGTGGGCGCAATCGTTGGTACTGTTTGCATTTACGTAACAATGTTCAAACTTCGTTGAGTGATGAAAGCCGCTTTTGTCTTCTTGTGCCGTACACACTTCCGTAGCTGAGATTGAGGTGAGTGCAGTTTTAGTCAATTCAATTTTGCCTTAGGCCGTAAGTTAATATTGTAGTCTAAGCTTACGCGGCTTACTTTGTTCCCTTCTGTTTTTTGACAAAACAGCTGATATGCGAGAGAACTTTAAGAAAAAAAGGAAAATTGTTATTCAAAACTTGTTTTTGTTTTCGTCGTCTGGTCGCCGGTATGATTTGGCTTTCTTTGTCGTAAATTTGTTTTCAAATTTAAATATTCATCTGGCCATAAAATTTAACAGCCTTTTGTACGTAATTATAATTCTGTTACATATATAATTATACTACAAATCGATACTGTTAGTTTTGAATTGATCTGATGGAATGTGACACTGATATTCATGTTCTTAAATACCACGCACCCAGTGAATGTAATTCACTGTTGAAAAATAGTTCAAATTTTTCGCCAATTCGAAGGGATCAGAGACCATTCTACTTTTAATTTTGATTATGTTGATTATGACTTTTTCATATCTAGTTGTATGAATTAAGTCAACTTATATATTTCGGGGTCGAGATAACTCTGGTGTCATGTCATGGGCTGGTTTTGATTTATTTTGTGCTGATTATAATTATGAGTAAATGCACCTTAATTTACAGATCGTGTACGAGTAATCTATTGTAAAAATGAAGTTTACCAGAGACATATTACCACAACTTATTCAACTTTATTACCTCGTCCTTATCTTTACAGGTGGGTAGCATATTCTCAATATATATACTATTATTTTTACAGCTGTAATTTACGTGCCTTTTAACGCGATCCATTCAATCTGACCCTGTACATTATTAATTTGGCTAGACCGACAACATAGCCCACAGAAAATTAGTCTTATTTAATTTATATTTCTGAATTTTGGACCTTTGAAATTTATGTCATAAAAGATGCCATGAAAGCATTCTGATTTGTGCAATATTGTGCAATGCAAGCCTATAATTACACAATTTACAATGATAATATTTGGCGACACTGCATGACTAATCTGCTATTGTATTTTGCGCAGTTATGTGACTTATGATCCATATTTTACTTTGTTATCAATACATTTACAAAGAATGTAATTTTGGCGTTGTTTGAGGTACACGTGGAAGTAATATGTCGACAGTATTGGCATAGTTTCAAACTTCGACTAAAGCCAGACGCCGGTTGGCAATACTAATACACGATTTCAAGACATGTTCATTCGAGCAAGGGCGCCAAATACATTACGCCATTAAGTACGGTTTAATCATATCTCGCGCTTGTCCAAACTTGAATTCATAATCCCATTTTACAAAGGAGTTGTTAATTCTTTCTTATTGTATATATAATCAGTGACTTATCACGAGTTGACCTCATTTGCTGAGCAAACAAATACTTACTACAAAATCGTATTTTTATTGGAGCAAAAAGAGAACGCCAGTCAGCTAATATGGACTTTGAACTGACATAGGAGAGAGAAAGACTTGTAAGTTACTTGCACACGCCGTTTTAACAAATGAACTTTGTGCAATTCCTCCGAGGCTTTTGTGTCGTATCTTGTATGACGAAAGTACCTGAATTTCGTCCAGTTGTTTACTAATCAGAACACAAACCGATGGCAGGCTATGATGTTGGCGGTAGCCTGTTAAGTATAGTTAATAGCAGAAAGAGTAAACAGCGTCATGATTACCGCTTATCTGTACATTTAGTCAAGCTCATTTCGATAAATATCAGCATCGATCAGATTCATAAGGAAGTAATCGTCATTTAAAATTTTGGGTCTGCTACAGTCTGATAGTTACATAGTTAGGTATCATGCTGATTTTCTTTGAAAATGACTATTTGGAACATCTAAATTGCAGTTTAAAATACGTTAGCTAAAGTCACCCGAAGTTAAATACAATTGATTACAAATTGTGCAAACTTTCGATTTCTTCAAGTAAAATGAATGTTATTAGACAGTAAGTGACCGAGTTAGATTCACAAAAGCTCGAATTCTGATATATTCCTCTATTCAGGTATTATAATTACCTTGACACTTAACAGTGTTCAGTGTATTTTACCTCTACTTATCTATATTATAATAAGTGAGAGAATCTAAGGTATACAATCTGACAATTAGCCATATTTCATTATTTTGATCCTTGAATTGAGTAGCCCATATATGAAATATGGTTAAAAGTGCGAGGTACCAAACATATACAATATAGACCAAAATTTCTTCATTTTATTTGGTTATTCTTTCCAGTGTTCTATAACATTTTGGGACCAAAGGTAGAATACAAAAAAGGAAACAGATGAATGAATATAATCACTTAGTCATGATTGAATGAATTAATGTCTGACAAAGCAAAATTTCATACTGAGTTAAAATAGTGACACACATTCGATGAGCTGAATGACTAAATAACAAAGAAGTAAATTTTATGATGTCTTGCATCCTTGTTATATCATAGACAGCTGAGACCATTAAAGATTTGTGAAGTACAGAAGTAGGACATGAGGAGAATGACCGAATTTCACTATTTTCTTATGATGTCAATTAAGTACTTTTATTCCCATTCATTAGCCTTGTTTGAAACAGAATTTATTAATAATTTGAGTTTTTGCAATACAGTGGAAAACCAAAATAGCAAATATAGAGAGTAATTTCAGTGCTTTTATGCTAACTGCATGTATTATCTGCATTAACAACATCCCCTTTAAATATATTTAAAATGTGGAACAAATAAAATAATTTTCTTAAAGTGTTAAATACGGTTTATCGTTACTTTTATCCAGAAAGAAATCTGTGTTGTTTGTACATCTAAAGCACAAAGTAGAAGTATTCTAGATACAATTCCACACAGTTCAAAATTGGAGATCGTATTACGTTTTACAAACTTGAATATCGTCATATCTTCACTGTGAGCACTTGAAAATGAAACACCACTGCAGTAGTACTGTGATCGGCTCGTATGAATTGTGTCAAGATCAAATTATACAAATGAAAACTATAAAAAATATAAAAATGAATGTAAAAGGTGTAAATACAAGCACGAAGCGGCAATTTAGCATGCTTCCGATTCAAGTACTTTTTCTAATTGTTATATTGTCACCTACATATCACTGTTTTTCTGTTCGGGGATTTGCTCAAGCAGCCACTCCCGAAGGCGTCTCAGGACAATCTCTCGATCCATCAAGAATTTATCAATACAGTTATGAAGCAGAAGTGGAATTAAATGAAGCTGATTTACCACAAGATAGTAAAATTCACACACAACATGCTGATGTTGGTAAGAATTTTTCTCCCTAGTTTTGTTTGTATCCTCTGTTGTTATGAACAGCTGCTAATAAGTTTGGAGCTACTGTGTTATAGAAAGACCAAAATATTATTGATTCGCCTCAGATGATCTATTGAATACTTAAATCTGAGACCTCTAACCCGCGAGACTAAAATAGTTAGATGTGATAGGCTAACTACAAAATTGAACAGAAAGTTAGTTAGCATGTTGAGTAAAGAGTTTGTTTGGGGATAAAAAAATAATCTTCAACTACTTGGGGTATTAATATTTCACATGCATGCTCGCTTAGTTAAAGTTGGCTCAGGAGTAAGGCCATTTAACTCTAGTGTATAAAGAAAGCACCCGCCTGCCGAGGGGGTTAACTAAATTTCCAAATAAATAATTATAGTTCTTAGTAACTAATGTGACGTCAGCCTGGAACTAAATTGTTGATAATTGGGAAACTGCTGCCTGAAGTCCGTCACCATCTCTATAAAATGATAGAGAATGATACTTTACCTGAATATTGTTTTGTTATTAATGGTCATTTTATATTATTTCAGGAGTTCGAATAAACGCTGTTGTTGAACTAATTGTTCGTTGGACGAATCCAGATAATAAATATGATCAAGTTATTGAAATGAGGGTAATTTCTTTATTATTGTAGCAATATCATTGATACTTTCACCCTGAACCAGGCTCTGGACTAGACTAGAATATATTTCTATACCAAAAGCATTGAAATCCACAATGTCGCTATGACAAGACATATGCTATGCCATTTTTTAATTTATTTAAATATTATTTATGCTACTAGTAATACTATTTTCTGTGCTGATTTGAAAATTGGCAAGTTACAGTCGTTATTAGATTGGAATACATTATTATGATATCGCACCGTATATTATAATGAGTACTAAAGCATTATTGCTGAGCCATATTATCGTCTTTCTCCTCCGCTGGGATAAATATGAAAATCCTATACTAACTGTTATAAGTGTAATGTCTTCCAAAATCGCTTGGAGAATAAACATTCAAATACGAAGATTCTGTGTTAATATCTTACAAATGCTCTAATTTAGAACTCTAAATATTCTAAATCACAAATACATTTTATCAAATCTTGTTTTTTCTAAAAATACAATCTCTCTTTCTATTTCTCAGTTTGATGGAGCAGAAGTTTTCAATGTTAGTGACAAAGAAAGAAGAGATCCAAGTTTCTATGTGACAAGAAATAGTGTTTCGTTAAGAACCGTCACGAAACCAATAATATTTCGATGGTCAAATGGATATGTAAGATATATTTTCAAATTATTTGACAATATATTGTTTATCAATTTCATTAATTTATCTAAATATTAGATATGTTCAGAGCCGGTTAAACCATTTCGTTTTCTGTATTTTTTGTACATGATGGATATAGAAGTTTTTTTATTTAAGAGTACATGCATTTTTTATATTTTTGACTGTTTGTAACTTAAATATCGAAAATGTGATTTATATCACTTCAGCATTCAAAACTTCTAAAGTTGTCTTGCATCTATGGAGCACTTATATCATTGCAAGATTTCGTTATAACACAACTTCGTCCAGAAACGAGTGCTATGATTTGCCAGTGCATAGGTAGACTAGCTTAAAAAATTATTTGCAGAAAAGGAAAAAATGTTTTAAAAATCTTTGTTCTCTTATTTTTATTCTTATTTTTTTTATTATGGTATTATATTGATTTTTTTCACACTTCACAGATTCAAGAATTTTATGTGAGTTCGGAAGAAACGATCACATCACTTAATATCAAAAGAGGAATTTTAGGTTTCTTTCAAATACAAACTCAATCAGGGGACAGAGTTGAGGTTATATATATTTTATTCAAATATTATTCTTTGATCAAACTATGTAACAGTTGTTAATCTTATTGATGTGTTTGTATTTAATGATGCATTTTCGATGTTTAGAAAATCTAGGATTATAAAAAATCATTTTTTTTTCTTATTTTTATCCACACTTTATTTCAATTTTATTTGCGGTAAATGAAAAAAACATAATGTCTGCTTAAAACAGCTTGTTTACAATGATTTTATTTGAATTTTTTTCAACAAATCTCCGGTTCAAGCCATCAGCAGTCAACTTATTTATGACTTTAAAATGGTGGTGATTTGTCTTCTTTTTTCTGATAGTTTTGTCTATAATCCTCCTTTTTTTCATATTGAAATGCATATCTCAGTTATTTTAGGAATCGGCCAAACCATGGATATTCCTAGAAATATCATTGACAATAAGTTAATACCAGCATTAAATGCAATATCAGAACTAATATCAACAAATTTTATCATAGAAAAATAATAATAAATACATGGATTTTACTGTAAGTTTCACTAGAAACAACAACTTAATTGTCATCTTCAATTTGCAGGAAGATTTATCTGGTAAATGTAACGTCACATATGATGTAGAAGGTACAGAGGTAAAGAAAGTCAAAGATATATCATCTTGTGTGAATGATGAAGAAGGGTTTTCAACAATGTCTAAGGTAAAATTTATTATATTTTAAATTGAAATTTTAATTTAACATGACCGCGTTTATTATTATACATCAGTATGTATTCCTTTGTCTTATTTAGGATAGATCTGACTGGCTTAACTTTTTGCCATTACAGGGTTGCTCATGTAGTTACAGGTTTCTTGCAGTTTTCTCTTCTAACCACATATCTTTGGTATGGTTTGATATTCCTACACCCAAGCTGGACCACAATCGAAACACTTTGATTATGTTATTTTTATTCTATTCTTCGACAGAGTAGCAAGACTGTTATTAAATGATAATAATGCCAAGTGTTCATCATTTCAAGATATTGTTACACAGAGAATTAGGTACCTTACAATGGTACAAAAAATTACAATACACATGACAAAAACATAGGTTAGAGGAAAGCGGATAAGATGGATTAATCTTATAGCAAACCATGGCCTCTCATGAGGTTACCAGTCCATGTCAGGTATGCGAATAGTTAACCAGTTATTTGTTTCGAGTCCAGTTATCTTCTTATACCTAATCAGCGGTGGGTTTGCAGGTTTGAATCTCATGTGGGGATTGTTATGTGCGAGAAGATTGCTAGACTCATTGCCGCTGTAGGGTGGTTCACGTAACCGCTGGTCGGTTCAAGTCCATGCTAACTGGCTGACTAATCTCATATCCGGCATAGACTGACAAGAGGCCCTGGTTTACCATATGATTAAGACGTCTTATCTCTTTCTGCTCCACTAGAATAAATATGTAAACCTTATCCTCCTTATCTCCCACGGGATTCAAACATGCAAATATACGCATGGCAAAGAGAGATAACAAGCATGCACCTATCGCTGAGCTCAAAGTTGCCAAAACTTTTTTTTAAAAAAAGTTTTTTAAAACACGAGTCATGAATGTAATATTACCATTAACACTATATTATCCACTCCCTTTATAAACAATAATTTGCAACATGATAGAATTTTTTTATATTGATATTATACTCGAAATATTTTTATAATTTAGGTGCTCGGTGTTTCGTCCGATTCAACTAGCCAAGGCCTCTACACAATGTCACCTGATAAATCACATATAGTGTATGGAGTCAACCTGGAATCGCATTCTATTCGTGTTAATGTTCGACAAGAAATTAGCTTGTATTCTCTTGGAAGGTAGTTAGATTTTTATGTAATGTGTGTTTTCTTATATCTGACCTTCTTACCGTTTATGTCTGTGTTAATAAATAGGTTCACTTTGACTATATAATTAGCAATAAAGACAATATATACGTGGACGTTTTATTTTTAAATAGATTATAGTTACATATTCAAAATCCAAAAAATAGTTGCAATATACAATTTTACAATCCCAAAGTAATAATTATATGTGAACATCCCTAAGTATAGCAAGTATTTCCGCTGTATTGCATATTGCATGGAATGATCAAGCTTTGATCATTTTGAAGCAACCACTTTTTTCACATAGTTTTGAATTATACTACAAGTGTTAGGAACAAATGGATTAGGAGTTTGGAATATATTTAAATTAATATCTTACAATTTAAATTATACAATATCTTCATGTTTAAAATTAGCTTATTTGATTTGTAAGTATATAAAACTAAATGTATCCAAAGTTGAAGGAAAACATATGTTTATTTAGACAAAAACTTGGCCTGCTGTCAATAGACAAGATTAAATCTATTACATCTTCGACCAAGGATGAAGCATTGAAGTCTTTTGCTAAAGGTACTCCTATTATTTTTTTTATACCAATGTTCGCTCCTTTTGAATGAGGCATTTTGTGGAAAAAAGGAGGTTGAGGAATTTGAGTTTACATAAAGATTTATTCTCAGAATTCCATTACACAGAATCAACCTTTTTGTGATGATTTAATATGTGCTCTCCATATTAGGCTCTGTGCAAGCTGAGTGTAATATGTATTGAATACTAAATCTCTTTTTATGTGACATAGCCCGTCCAGTTTAATAAATCTTTATTGGCTTGTTGGGTCTAAGCGACACTCCAGTCTAAAATTAAAAATTAGTTGGGTGATACTATTGGGGTGGGGCATTCATGAATATTTTTCAGCATGCCATAATTTGAAATATTTCAAAAGAGTTGAATATGAAATTGTGTTTTGTGTTAAAACACATTATAAAACATAACATTATGTTATTACTTATCAATCTTAAGATCGGTAAGTATGTTGATAGGTATTTGTCTGTTTGTTTGTTTGTCTGTTAGATACGCAATATCTCACGAAAGCGTGGTTGAATCTGCTCCAAATTTTGCATGTCCATTCATCATAGTTCGGTACAGAAGCCTATCGTTTTTGGATGGAATATGTCGTATAATTAGCGAGTTATTAATTAATTAGTGATGGGACACACAGTGTCACTATGGAGTAAGACCACTGTTTTGGGGGATCCCCTAACCTTCAATCGATAAGTCTTCGGTTTCCAACCGAATTCTAGTGTTATTCTTATTGGATTATGTCAAATTTAGATAATTACTGAATTGAAATAACTCTTAATTGAGTTTGCTTCTCTGAAGATAGTTACATATTTTTTATGCAAAATCACTGTCTTGCAAACTTCATTATGAATACCCTACTATATTCCAAATGGGAATTTCTCGAAATACTGCTACAATTATTTTGGGATTTTTGGACTCCTGGCTGCTATAGGTTGCTTCACATAACCGCTGGTCGGTTACTGTTTCCTGCACAAATCAAGTCAATTCCTCCGAAAATAAATTACTGCCTAACTAATTCCATACCTGACGTGGACTGGTAAACGGTTAAAAGACATCGTTTGCCATATGATTAAACTGTCTTATTGGCTTTCCTCTCCCTTATCCTAAATATGTAAATCCTATCATATTGTATTAAATTGATGTATTTACTACTATTATCTTTGCTTTTTGGATCTCACAGAATATAATCAAAATGACGCTTTTATTGCAAAGCACAACAATTTTTCACATATTTTATTATGAAACACATTATTTTTGTTAACAGAAAAAAGAAAATCTGGTGAAAAATATATAAGAGCAAGTTTATTATCTGAACGTGATGTCAAGAATTGTGCGGAAGGATGTCTCGATGTAAGTGTTTGATTAAAACAATTAGGTTGCAAATTCGATAGCAAAATTGTCATTTATTACTATGCACAACCACCATACGCCATAATTTTATTATTATGACATTTTCCATTATGTAATACATATTATATTGCAAACATATACAACTTGATTAAAGCGAAAGTATTTGCAGTCTACCAAGCTAAGAAATATGCTTAGTGCTTCCAGCCAAGAGCAGTGGCCATAAGATTTGCATACAAAAATCAAAACTACCGGTACTTGCTATCGTGGTGGTCCTTGCTTGCATAAGACGACTATTCAAGGGAAACTCTGTAAAGCAAGATATAAAACTGAATAGTAGGCCTAACATTCAATCAAATTCAAGTTGTCATTTATATATGATTACTAGAGGTATCTTATCACAAGCACAAGTACATTTAAAATTATCACTGTTATTCCCTAAGTACTTGCACTAGAATGTTTTTTTAACATTTTTCCTGAGTAGAGTGATTTCATTTGTTCTCTGATTGTAAGAGCTACAGGCATTCTTAATATATTATATAGCGTGAATATCCATAGATTATTCAGTAACATCAATGTTTGCAAGCAATAATCGATTTTTTATTATTCTTGTTAAGCATGCGTCGTTGCGTCTTATTCATAACCGGGCCGTGCTTTTTTTTACTCACTATCAATAACCCATGTTTGGCTGTACATAAATTGTTGAATATTTTCTTATACATTCATATTCAAGGTTCTTCAAATCATAAGTGATTTATCTAAACAACTTTCAAAAGTAAACATGGCCAACATTAGTTCTGCTCAAGCATACATTACCGCAGTACGAGCTGCAAGACAAGCAGATAAAGACACTCTTATGCAACTCTTGAAATTAAAGGAATTTAAAGATATACAGTAAGTTTAGTCGAAATATTATAACTTTGAAAAGCACACTGGATGAGGGATGCATTGGATATACCTGGTTACAGGGATGTTCAAAAAGAAATGTTTTTTTTTCACAGACCGCTATACGTATTTCATTCTGAAAAAGTACTGTACTGATACTGTACTAATATATTTTGGAAAACCTGACTCATGTTGCCCTCCGAATTTATTACACCTTGTGTGAGGCAATGGGCATAGGTCTTAAATCCAAGATTTTTGACCAACAATGACAACATACCGGTAGCTGTCCTTTGAATACATTCAAACTTGTTAAATTGATTTTATTTGATAGTTGATTCCCTGATTTTATGAATATTTGAAAAATAATTCTTGGTGGTGTGACGAGAGGACTGCTGGACTTCCCGCTGCCATACAGTGGTTCATGTAACCGCTGGTCAGTTACGGCTTACTCCATCATCAAATCCATGCATCTTAAACAGATATTTGGCTAACGAACCTCATACCAGACATGAACAGGTAACCACACAAGAGGCCGTGGTTCGCCACATTATCCACTTTCCTCTCCCTCAGGTTAAATATGTAAATCCCACCCTACCCATACACTGTTGACAAGACAAACTTGACAATGCAGACTTGTGCAAAGTGGACTGAATTTTGAATCTTGAAAATTTTCACGATTGGTATTATGACATTTCATATATTTTTCAGGTTTACCATTGTTGATATACTTGCCACTGCTCAAACTGATGCATCTCAGGCAGCCCTTATCGATTTCCTTGATTTCAAAAATAAAGAAAAGGAAGGATTGGTGGAGCGGGCACTCACAGGCATTGCATTTTCATCTCATCCATCTGAGAATGTACTCAGAGATCTTTATGTGAGAGACATATTATTATTATTACCATTTTTATATTTTTTGTGATTTACCTCTTACGTTGCATAATATCTATTCATCTGGTATGTTTAACTCCTAATTCTTCCCTTTTTGACCTGATCAGTAAGGGGATGTAATTCTGTAGTTTGTAAGGGTAGGATTTCCCCCTTCATACCAGATAGAGGAAGGAATTTAAGACGGGTACCGGTAAATAATATGACAAACTACTGGCCCCATCCAGTTGCCAGTCCAGATGGTATGGGGATAGCTGATTTACCAGTTTAGGGTTCCAGCTGCATGAAGCACATTGTTGGAAGTTGAACTGACCTATGAGCCACCCTGCAGGATCGAGGAGTCCGGCATTTCTTTTGTACATATTTGATCCACACAAAGGTAAAAAGATTACTTTTTACAGGATAAATGTGCAACAACATTTTCTCTATTTTGTATCTGTTACAGTATAAATATATTCAAAAAGAATGTTTCAATATAGGGTAGACCAACAAATTCAATATGGTATTAACTTTTACTATAGTCACACATTAAAAAGGGAAATTGAAAAAACTTGAATGAAGGAAGGAAGGATTTACATATTTATCCCGGGGGAGAGGAATGCCGCTAAGACGGCTTAATCATATGGCGAACAACGGCCTCTCGTCCGGTAACCGGTTCAGGTCGGGTATGGGATTAGTTTGCCAGTTATTTGTTTTTGGAAGCATGGACTTGACGGTGGAGGAAGCCGTAACCGACCAATGGTTACGCGAACCACCCTACGACGGCGAGGAGTCCAGCAATCCTCTCGCAACGACGGCGAGCGTATTCCTAACGCTTAGCAGGATGCGCCACAGATTAACTTTATCGATGAGTATTAGGATAGGTTTTTTGACTTTCATCTTTTACTATATTATTAATTACTGTTAGGCTTGTTATTTTTCACTTGTTATTTTTCATGAACTAAATATTTATATAAATTTTATTCAGAAATTATACAAAGGTGAGATAGCAAGTCCAAAAGTTCGACAAACTGTGGGTTTGGCAATGGGTGCAGTTCTAAAGAAATTCTGTGCTTCGGCACCCGGAAATTGTCAACGCGAGGTTTGTATTTTTTTTCGCCTCATCTATAAATAACAAGGATTGCTTGAATCAAACACTGAAAGTAGTTTATGCTTATTGTTTAATACTCTCAATGTCAAAAGGATATTTCAAATTCATAGTAGAATTTTGATATTGTCAAGTCAATGTTGGATTTGTGATATACTCTTGGAGATAATGACTTCCAGGCCCAGAAAAAGTGATTGGCATAAAATATCTAGGTTACAAAGGACAACTGGCAAGTGTGTGAGACTTTTGAGTGGCAACACACCATTAGGCAGAATAAAACTTGCTAGAGTTTGAATTGGATTTAGTTTTAATCAGTTTCAGAACTGAGTTTTGACGTTTGAATCACCCATGCGAAGAATATGGTGATCAAAAATGAATAAAACTGTGATATAATATGATCTTTCATGATCGGTTAATAGTGATGTTTTTATAAGAATCTCGAGTTTTAATCCCTATCATGATTAGGTTTTACTTGATCTACATTCAAGGTAATATTTGCCATATATTGCCATTGGCTTCAATAACAAAACATAACAAAATTTTTAAAATTTAAGTTAGTTGTACAATAATGAATCTTATATAAACTTAATGGATACCAAAGTTCACAAGAAGCAGAAGAGTGAATCCAATATTATTACTTTGATGACTCATTAACCTTTAGACGTCAGAACTTTTGAAATTCAAATTTTCTCATATTCAGATTCCTAAAAAAGTCACAAATCTTATTCATCAAGGATTTATGGAATCAACAACAGAAGATACTCAAAATCTTTATATACTCATCGCAAGAAATACTGGACAACCTGAGTTTATTAATAAACTTGTTAATTTGGCCGAACACAGTAAATTTTATCTTGTTTGTCATCATGCGTTAACTGCTTTGACTGTCTTCGATACAAAAGATTTTGGTGAAGAAGTAAGTATATTTGATTAATGAGCTGAATTAAATAATCTAAATCTGATCATGGTGGCCTAGTGAATAGGGTTTCAAGTGGCTCAAAGCCCCGCCCCCAGGGTTCTGTGAGGAGAACCTTTCAAAATCCTGATTTGGCCTTTTTTTGTAACTGTCTAAAGAAGTAAAATAGGTAGCAAAAACGGTAGCATTGAAATGTGGCAACATGGCGGTTGATAAACCAGATATGTCATATCTACAGGTTCCAAGTAATTTTAATTTACTCAGGAACATTTATCGGTGAATAACATTGTGTTTTTTTTTGTTTTTTTTTTTCTGTAAATAATAGCTAACCTATTCACAGGTTCCATAACACCGAAAGTTTGAGAACCCCCTGGTCCAGTGGTCAAAGCGATAGACTTACCATAACTATGATAGCATCGCAGGTTCAAATCCCATGTCCAACACCTCACCCAGGTTGTATGAAATTGGGTAGACAACGCCAAACTAGAAAGATTTGGGTTAGTGTCGTATTGCGCAGAGACTTGTTAGGAGTGAACGGCATATAAATACATCGTGTAACATACTCTTGATATACTAAGTGTTGTGTTTGAGAAAATTGTGTAAAAAAATGTTTTTGCTGCATGACATTGAATGCTGAAGGCTGACCAGTTTATCTATATGGAAAATTATGACTTCAAGTTTCTTGAAGAATTAGAAAAAAACAGCAATATCTTCAAACATATTTCATTTATGAGTTAAGTTGGATTGTGCCAGATTTGGACACATTCTAATTGTGGTTAAAGCGTCAGACTTAATCATGTTGAAATCATAGATGAAAATCTCGGATTCAAATCCTTGCCTAACCCCGCACTGAGTGTGTAATAAATTGGGTAGGCAATGCAAAATCGGAAAGATTCCTGGTCTTTTCAAACTATAGTAGCTTATGCAGAGCCTTGCTCGGAGCAAAAAGTCATATAAATACATCATATAAAAAATGTTTTGGGAAATCTAAGTAGGCCTAATAATGAAAATCTGGCCACCATTCACCAAAAAAAACAACACTTAGTGTTAGTATTATATATCATTCAGCTTATTCATTGATTTTTTATACCTTGGAATAAGTATGAAACCTATCCTAAATAAGATTATTTTCATTTCAGTTTCGAGACACGATGAACAGAATATATCATCAGAATTTGAAGAAATACGACAACACAATTCGAGCTGCTGCAGCTAATAGATTGTTATCGAATGCACCTACTGAAATGGATGTTAAAAACCTTATATTGTCATTACCGGATCAAACCTCAAAAGAATTGTCCAATTTCATTTATCAAAGAATTTTTGATCTTATCAAGACAAATCACCCATCAAAGTAAGTTAGATCATAAGTTTTTAAAGTGCTCTGTACGGAGGTTCAGGGCGTGGTTTTCCGTATGATTAAGCCATCTCATCGACTTTCCTCTCTTTGGATAAATAATAAAATTGATTTCCACTTTTGAGATTTTTCTAACTTCTCTCCAATGCTCCAACATTCATGATCGCTCATGAGTGGGTTTTATTCCCCTTTGAGTGAGTTCTTGTGATTCTAATATGATAATATATTTTTATAAAAACCTAATATCCACTGCTAATACATTCTGAAGTAATAATATTGAAACTGAAATGAAGCAGTATAGCGATAGTATTCCATTTGTTGGTGACGAAAAGCACCACAAAGTGTCATTTTTTTCATATTTTCAGTTTCTAAAAATGGCGCGGAACAATTTTATGTTTCAATTTATAAAATATTTATTAATGACACGATACACCATTCTACATTATAAACTTTCAATTATTTCAGAGAAATTCTTCAGAAAGTTTTAAAAGACAACACAGTTTCAAACTACTGGACGATGGCTAATTCAGGAATGGCATCGGCTTTTACAGGATATTTGTTTTCGTAAGTTGTTACTTGGAAAGGATACAGTAATTTTATTCAACCATTAATTATGTTGTATCACGATCATTAGAATATTACCATGATAAAACAGTTTCTAATGTTGTTTTTGAGGTAGTATTGAGGAGGCTCGAGTCATTTTCTCAACTTGAGTCGCCTACTCGCCAATCATCAAAGACTCACTAGGGGGGTGTAACTCAGTGAGTGACTCGACTCAAAACTCAGATGACCTTGCACTGGAGCTTACTCATGGCCGAGATTCACGGGCATTTTTAACATTATTAAATGTATAGAGTCAACTAAATTCCTTGCTGGCACTTGTAACATTCAAGATGAAAACATACTCACCCTCATGTTGAGAACACAAGTTATAAATAAACTGTGTGAGAACAAATTAGATTGTAAAGTGTTTTGTTTCATGAAACTGTTGGACAGTGAGGTCCGGCACATCAAAACAAATAGAGGGTAGTGAGTAGGCTACTTATCCCAGAAGCTGACCCAAACTGATAACTCAATAAGAAACTGTGGTTTGGTCCATTTTCCCTACGCAAAAAATCTAACCTGTCCTAATTGAATAGGTTCATTTTATTGGTTGAAGACTTATAGCTTTATTTTAAATGTTAATATAATTTTTTTATTTTTATTTTTTGCAAATTTTTTGTGTTTATTAACATGAATTTAACTGATATATTTCATTATTTTCAGGACTGATGATTCCCAAGTAACATACGGACTGTTCATGGAATATACAAATGCAGGAATGATGAGAAGGACTGCTTCTGATTTCACTCTTCATAGTCAAGGGCATTCAATTGCTCTAACTGAGGTAATAAACGATTTCGGATAAAGGATTTCATTTGTTTTCATGACTTTTATTGACTTATTTGAAAGAATTGTTTTGTTGATTTATCCACCAACCTTTTTTGAATCTAGAATATTTTATAGTATGCCACACCAAGTTTTTCTGTGAATTCTAATTAAAATTAAAATGAGGTAAAATTCAATAATACAGAAAACATTGGAAAAAATAATAAAACGACAATACTTTTGATAAGACCGATGTCCTTGCATATTGTTGCACAAAAGATCAAATCTTGACTCTATTTTGGTGATGGTGGGTCTCAGTACTGATTCCAAATCTTTCAATTCGATCGATATTTTGTTTTAACATAAGTTAGTGTTGAAACAGATTTTATTACTACCTTCGTGGTCCGCCATATTATTGAGCCATCCTATCCCCTTTCCTCTCGCCTGGGATCAATATGTAAATCCTATCCAATCTTTACTAAGCATAGGAAATCAAGGGTAATAATAATACTAATAATATTAATATACCAATTATTTTGAAACAGGCAGGAATCGTTGTCCAAGGCCTAGAATCGTTGACTGGAAGTGAACCTGATAAAGGAGAAGAAGAATATGATTCGATGGTTGGAATGTCTTCCATTATGATGGGAGTGAAACTCAGACCACTAACATTTTTCCGAGGTTACGGAGACATGATGTCCTTGATATGGCAGGGAAGCTCTGGTGAACCAGAAGGAGTCGAAGCAATGTTAATGTTGATGGATTATCTCCAGGTATTCATCTCAGCAAAAGAAAACTGAACATTTCTGTTTTCAAATCAAAAATATATGGACTTTGTTTGGCATTTAGTTAATTTTTTGAGCGCGATCAACTGGGTTAACCACAATGGCATTACAGGTTGGATTGTCGGGGTAAAATTCCATGCCCATCACTCGACCCAGGGTGTTTTAAATTGGGTGGATTGTGGCGAAACTGGCAGATTATGGCCCTTACCTATCATGGGCTGCTTGTACAGAGCCTTGGTTTGAGTAAAAGGATATATTTACTTCGTACAAAAAATGTAGTCGACTGAAAATCGAATTTGTTTTACTGAAATTTTCTTGTTGTTCATTATAGCTTGTACATTTTAAATTTTCTAGAACAGGGGTGTCCAACAGGTGGTCCGCAGGCCACAACCAGCACGACAAGCCATTTAATGTGGCCCTTGTCAACACTCATAAATCATAATACGACAATTTATGTTCAAAAATGTGCACGCATGGGGAGAATGCATAACTTTTTTTTCTTCTCGCTGTTTTATATTTTTTGCCGTTTTTCTCCGCTGTCCTCGTTAATGTTAATCTTTGTGTTTTTGGAGGAACTTTTTAAAAAAAAATTTAGTGTAGCCTAGATGGATGTCGGAAGTTGGTTATGTATGGCCCACCGATAAAAATATGTTACACACCCCTGATCTAGCGCAAATATAAGAACTCTATTTTGCTTTTATGCAGCATATACCAATGGCATCAGGATTGCGAGTAAAAGCTGAAGTATTAGGTGCAATATCTACTAAAATATCAGTTGCCATTGAATTTTCATTATGGAGCAGAACAGTTGAGATTACTACAACAAATGGGTGAGTATTACAATTCTTGAAGATTCCCCCTGAAGATTTGTTAGAATGTACAAATGAAAAAGCACAAAGAAACCATCTAGAAATAGATGACAATATAAGAGAAACAAACAGAAAATTTTTACCCTCTGTGGATTGATTGAAACACACTGTAACTTGCACAATTGTTGCCACCACATTTTCAGAACTAAGCAGTGGTTCTCAAACGGTGTGGCGGGTCCCGCAAGATAATAATACAATTTTCGGCAACGAGCTACTTAAAAATTGATTCATGCTTATTCTAGAATTTCATCATTATAGATCCAAACAATCAAACCCGGTATTGGCGTTAGGAATACGCTTGCCAACGCACCTCTGATTACCCTGAGTGGTGTTCGCAGGTTCGAATTTCGGGAAGAATAATTATGTACGAGAGGATTGCTATACTCCTCGCCGAAACAAGTTGGTTCATATCACCGCTGGTTGGTTGGTTCACATCACCGCTTCTTCCACCATCAAGTCCACGCATCTGAAACAAATTACTGACTAACTCAGGGTGGTCCAAGCTTGTCGGCTCCTCGGGCGATTTTCATATTTATCCTAGAGGAGGAAGAAGACGATAAAGCGGCTTAATTATGTGGCGGGCCGCCGCTTCTCGTTTGCTTACTAGTCCGCGTCGGGTATTGGATTATTAAATCAGATATTTGTTTCAGATGGATGATGGTGTAAAAATGGTTACTGAACCCCGCTGCGGCTGCGAGTTCTGCAATTCCCTCGCACATATTTATTTCCCACGGAATTCGAATCTGTGAAAATATCAGAACAAGCCTACTCAGCTATCAAAACAATTACTTTTAGTTTTTTTTTATATAATGTTACATTTTATTTTATTTCAGTGGAGCATTCTCTATTCAATGTCGCTTATCCTTGGAATCACCAATAGTCCGAGCATCGGTTCGTCACCAAGGAGACGCTCAATCGTCGATCGATTTCTCCGTCTTCACTGATTTTTCTTCGCTTCCTCCAAAATCCTGCATCAGAATTTCTTATCCTGATTTTATATTCACGTAAGTTAAATATTACCATATAATACGACTTTAGCTCGTAACCGCAAGAAAAACGTTCTTTGCTTTATACTTGAACAGTCGTATCGGCTTTCCCCTCTCACGAAATAAATTTGACAAAATATTACGATCCATATCAACAAAAGTTTGGGATTGTCAAACATTTTTTAGAAAATATTTTGAAATCATCGAATAACTGAAAAAATTTCCACAAAATATCGGAACTATCATGTGATTTCAATGTTCTTGAAACCTTTTTCATCACGACCCACTTGGCATGGCCAAATTTTTTCGCGACTCTCACGAACTGAAAAACGAAAAATAATGTAAAATTTATTAATACAGGAAAAATAAATAATAATAACAATAATGAATTTGACAATACATTTAATGAGACCGATGTGCTTGCATATTTTCGCACAAAAGATCTAATCTTTGCCCTATTCCGGTTTGCGGATATTATTAGTGTTGGTTCCAAATCTTTTAAATTTAATCAATAATTTGTTTTAACATAAGTTAGTATGGAAAAAAATTCTTTCGCGATCCTAAAGGCTCTTTCGGGATTCCCAGTTCAAAGAGCAGAAAATGGACTTGGGATGGGACGTTTCCATTTCATCATTTTAATGAACACCTGATACTGTCCTGGAGGACTTTGTTACCTATTAATGTAAAAACACCGATCTGCTGTAAAAGTTATTTTTCTATATTCCTTATCGTGAATCGCCTTTTAGTATATAAAATATAGTGTTTCTAATTTAATTTATTACAAACATAACACGTGGAGGTAAATTTTTGCGGCGTCTCGTGATTTTAAAGTATGGCTTAACGATACTTGTATTTTTTTATAAAAAAGTACTTACGGTACTCAAAACAGATAATTTTTTAAATAATTACCGGCAAGGTACTTTCTATTGTTACATCATAATCATGTGTTCAGTGAACCAATAAACTCACGTATCCAGAAAATAGTCACCGTTTTATTGATTTCATTGGAATGTTGTTGTCGTTCTTATTTTCGTTCGAGCAATTGGTTATATTTATCTAATATCAAGCTTGGGACATATCTGATTTCTGCCCAAAACAAGGCTATACGGGGATTTCTCTCAGACAGAATTATGTATAAAAATATACAATTACTGTTTCTTACTATTTTTTGACCATTGGGTCCCGTTTCAAGTGTGGATCACGTTTGGCAAAGATAAATCTTTACCAGTCGATATAACAGATTTTTTACTGGCATTTTTCGCCAAAAAAGATAAACACATATGATTCACACTTGCTATCATGTGTCATTTCAATTGTAACTTGATATTGTTAATGTTATCAAATGAGTAATGTATTCGGGAACATCTCGTGGTGTTTTGTAGTCATGGTGTTTTCTGATAAACGTAATATTTAGTTGATTTGTGCGAAACTAGAAATATTCTAGTCATTTTCCTGTCATATAATGATTCACTAATTGAATTTTTGAGACAGTAGAGCGGTACAAAGTGCGTATTGGAGAATCAAAAATTGGGTTTTTCAATTACGCATTCAGCTGTTACCAGCTACGAACGAACTAAATTTAGGCTGCAATATTGAATCGGTAATCTTCCAATTTTTTTATCTTTGACCTCAAAATTCGATTCGATTATCGTCTGGGATGTGGAAAGTGCGAATTTTGGATTAAAAGTTGAGTTTCTCAATTGCGTGCTCATTCGCAGTTGCACCAGCTACGAACGATCGAACTAAATATAGGCTGCAATATTGAATCGAAAATCATTTACGTCCATTTACCCGTTATCTCAAAATTTGATCCGGTTATCGTCTGTGATGTACAAAGTGCGAATTTTGGAATTGAAAGCTGACTTTCTCAATTGCGCGTTCATTTGCAGTTTCCAGCTACGAATGAACTAAATTTAAGCTATAATATTGAATTGGTAATCGTCCACGTTTATATACCTTTGAACTCAAAAAATAATAATACTTTAGCCATCGATCGCATCGCTGATTGACGCAGGTTCGATTCTCGTCTAAGATGATTTGGGGGACTCCTCGCCGTCGCAGGCAAGAGCATCCCTAAATCCCGAGTCGCGAGTGCATTCGAGTCAGTAATTATCGAGTCACAGACTCGAGTTTCTCAAACACTGGTATAGGAACAGTTAGTCGAAGCATGTAAATTTATTTTTCAGAAAATCTCTCCGAAAATTCGAAAAAGTGAAAGGATCGAACAAAAAATTGCTGACGTTGTCAAAACGAAAATCAAATAATTTTGGAAGGAGTCTCCCACTGCAACCGGGAAACTCAATCATGTGTACTAAGATTACAAAATAAGGGGACAGATGCTCATCTATTCTCCGAGCATAGACAATATTTATCACAGTTTTATCACAGTTTGAATTTAGTGGAACACAAATCCTATAACGTGTACCACACTATTGGTAATTTTATTTAAAAGTTACAAAAAGGGTATTATTTGAAAAACCACAAATATGATAAGATTCAAAATGTTGGTTTGAAATTATTAACGTACCATTCTATCTAGTGACCCTAACAAATATATGCCTCACGCGAAATATGCCATGAGTGGATATACTCTCTTTATATGATTGGATTATTAAATTGTTGAATTGTGCACATTCAGGTTCAAAAATTATTTTGTATATAGCTGCTACAGGTGCCAATATGATATTTTGTCATTATAGTTTTTTTTTTAAATCATTTTAATAATTTGCAATTTTATTGTTTGCTAATATTTGTATAATAAGGAACTCACTGAATAGGTTCTGACATTAGAACAAGCGTCTTTGCCTCCCTAGTTCAGTGTTAATTTGCGTCGATATTCGAACCAAATTCTAACTAAAACAGCAAGATTTCGTTGTAAATTAGTTAAGCACTTTCTAAATTTTTGTAGCAAGATGAGTGTTTTGTACATATATTGCTATATTTTGTAATTTTTAACAGAACGTATTAATGTGTTTTCAGGGGTCATTTTATCAATATTACACCCCTTTTTCAAGTTTCGTCATTTTTTCCAAACTTACAGGTTTATCCGATTCTGTTGTTGCTAGCTTGCTTCTGCGTACTTATACTAAGTAAATATGAATTCACACGAAAAAAACATAAAAGATTTTCCTTCCATATATTCAATATTTTCGAACTTTCTTATCACATATTTTTGTATGAGAGCACACACGGAAAATTCTCTGTCCTCTCGTGGTTAGCCATATAAAAAAGCCGTCCACCGGAAGCCTGAATAATGAACTTTGGTGGTACAAAATAATTACTGCAAAACGCCGTTTAATTTATTATACACTGTATCGATGAACGTCTTTGGTAATTGAATATGAAATGTATTAACCCAGCCTAGTTTCATATTCAGCGCTATAGTGACTGAAAAAATGTAACAGGCGCAAAGGACTATATCTAATAATTTGAGATACAAAAATTCCATATTTTCACTCCAAAAAACTCTTTTTTTCTCTAAGCTTACGTTTGTCATTGATCAAAACTAATATGGAATCTCATATCTGAGAAATATGCTTTTTTCAGGCTCATATCATACTGAAGAACCACACCAAATTGCGATTTCTGTAAACTTACATTTTTTTTGGAAGAGCTGATAATTCCATTATTATCCTTGCTTTAGGCAGAGTTGCTTAAGTGCGGTTCATCTGTAATTAATGCCTGGAAAGATTCGATTTATATTCTTTAAATATGATTTGATTTTGCTTTAATTACTGCAATTATCTGTACAGTATTTTTGCTTAATATTGTAAACTTTGTGTACTGCGTTATCGTTATGATATTTTATGCAATACATTTCATTCTATGACACATTGTTGGTAACTTTATTAAGATTTCAGTAGCAATCTTGAGCGCGAAGCTTTGTGCTTTTTCAACTAAATACCCAGTTGACCTATGGATCGGTTTGCTGAATGTTGTTAGTGTTAGAGGCAAATGGAGATCAATCCTTTAATAAAATGACGGTAGTTGAGAATAGAAATAAAAGCTTGCGGACTGTTTCTTTTATTTTTCTCAATCTCATTCTGGGCACTCTGTGGCTATTTGAATTTCGACATTTGTAACGAGAATTTGAGAGTATTACCAGTAAAAAAGCAATGGGTCTCACTACGCCTTTTCGAGTAAGGATTTTGGGGAATGTATCAGTTGTGTATTTAAAGACGATTATTGAAGTATCGTATTTAACTTATGCGGTTGAGGGTTCGCAGCCGGATAGGGTGTCCATGAAGTCTCGAAAGGATTTTAAAATTGCAAAGGGAATTTATCGATACCGAATACTGTTTAGTATATAAAGGTTGGGAATTGTTGTCGAGTATCTTCAACAGACTGAACAATCTATGCTCAATGGTCTGTAAATCTGACATGTTATACTAACAAACGACTGTGTTCACACAAACCCCAAAATGGCCAGTTTTACCATCCGTGATAACATGTCAATTTTGGGTATGCGCGCCAAGATGTCGCATAACCTGAACCCTAACCTGGTACACAACCTTCAGGTTCAGGTTGTGCGCCATCTTGGTGCGCATACTTCAGAAGGTCCCAATTTTGTTCTGCAATCGTAAGAAATCTGTCCGTGAATGATGGTACAAATTCAATAGGTAAATGTTATAGTGATCAATAGTTGTGCAAACGCAACTAGATTTGACGCATATTATGTCATGTCAGATTTACTCGAAATACATCTGAATAATCTGATTGTTGGTTTTTGGACGACTGATTGATTTTGCTAATTACTAATTGTTTACGTGTTTGTCATTTCAAATCGCCGAGTCCGCAATTGAATGTATTCAATCATTGTCTATCTTGTTTTTTGCCAGGAAACATTTTATCAGTACACAAGCTTTCCTGATCGGGTATTTTCTTATAAAAACAAAATATATCGGAATGTTCTCAAACTGTACTTCAGGCTTTCGCTGTTGTCCTCAAGTCCCAAAGAATTCTTTTATTTAGGTTGCTTTGTCGAGTGTACTCTTACGTAATAATTTTAATTACGACACAGCTTTCAGTAAATTATGATACTGTTAACAAAATTTCGAACTCAAAATAATCAATTCTATGTATGATATCATTTTCGTTCTACTGGCTATTTTGTAAAAAATAAACAATGAAATTTTTAAGAAGGTGCCAACGATATGGAAATCAATTTGTATCTCATTATCTTACAATCATCGCACGATGCACACTTCATATAATCCTTATTCGGCCATTTCAGTGACAAAATATTGAAATCTTAAATATATGTGTGTGCATAGGGTAGCATTTTACCTCTCTATTTATCGCATAAATGTTCCTAGATTAATTGTCGGATATTATTAAAAGAACCAACCGTTTATAGGGAAACACTTTTTGCCCTACAGGTGACCTGGTATTTAAAAAAGAATGTTTGGTATTTAGAAAAACCAATCAAATATTCGAACACAGTAAGAAGAAAGGGCGCAATAGAGCATTTACACACAGTAGGGAGAAACAGCATATAAAATTTGATGCTAGAGAATTTGTTACTTTTGAAACATTTTCTTTTAAATTCATTATATATAAAATTTAAGCTGAAACATGGAGATTGTTGCTTAGCTATTTATAAGTCATTAGTGTATCGCTCCATCCACGGCCATTATTTCGCTTTACATTGGGTATTTATATTTTATCAACTTTCCGGGATTTTATATTACTGTATTTTTAATTTTGTTTTTTGGTGGGTGTAAGCCAACGACTGTTTGATATGTGCTTAAGGAAAAGTCTGCAATGTGCAAAATGAAGAAAAAAAGGAGAAATGTCACACATCATATACGGCAAACATTAAATATTTGCTATATAATTAGGTAAATAGTACATAGACGTATCAGAATTTCCCTGTCGGCAACACCGAATGGGGAAAACACACAGTTATTTCCAGGTTGTAATTTCCCTCGAAAGCATTGGCGAGTGGGTTCAATGACCAACAATGGGTTCACTGACCCATTCTAGGACATACGGAATTTTCAAGTTAAAAATCAGTGTTCCTCATTAAAAAACCGTTTTATTTTAGAATGAAAATAGCATGTCTCCATCTAAAAACAACGTGACTCGTTACTATTTTAAAACTGAAGAGACCACAAAATTTTCAGATTTTTCCGCGGGTGGTTATTTTCAGAATTGATAAATCTGCGCGTGGAATGAAAATATATTTGTTCTCAATTATCAGGTTTCGTACAAGCAGCATACGATATGTATAAATCTGTGATCACGAAAGTATCGCTATTTATGTTTGCAGACACAAATAACAACATATGGTGAATGTGATTTTGGCATCACATTTCTATCTTGTTTGATTCTCGTTTATTTCCAAAAAAATTATTTTCAGATTACTAGAAAAAACTACAATTACGAAACTACTACTACTTTGAAAAATAGTAACAAGCAAAAAAGGCCATACGGGCCGATCTGGGTCGACGACCAGCAAATTCAAGAATACATATAAATCTAGGTTGAAAATTAACTTATAACTCGAACAGAGCATCATTTGCAAATGTGACATCGCCTAAGTAAATTCCTCAAAGTATTTCGAACTTTCGTTTTATACCATCCGTATTAGTAATAAAACATTGCAACTAACAATAAAAAAAAACTATGTTCAATTTTATGCAAACGATAAATTTCATGAGACGTTGCTGACAGCGTATCGATGATCAAATTGGTTCGAAATCTCGTTAGTTCCGATCAGACAAACGATGAGTTCAAGGTTCAAATCGGTAGTTACGCCAGCGCTCTTTTCTCCAATCAGAATCTTCAGAAATCATGAATGAATAATACTGTACTTAATTCTCCTCATAACGCACTTTGATGATGATTTTGAAAAGAAAATCCGTATTCACTTATGTGTGAAAAAGTCAAATGCGTGTTTATTTCAATAATGAAAGGAGCTTGTTGATGTGTGCCGAAAGAAGTTGTTTGAGAAATGCTTTTTGATTTATAGTGACGTAATTCACATAACTATTGAAAACTACTCTAAAGTTTTTGAAGCCCCCGAAACGCAAAGAACTCCAAACGTCAAGGAAAGTCTCGAGTAGAGTTCGAGAACATTCCGAAATAGATTGCTGTGTATTGGAGTATCTCATTAAAAAGGAATCTAAGAAATTGATATATAGCCAGATTGTCAGATTATACTGCAAATCTCATAAATCATCGATTTCGTGGTTTTTAGCAGCAAATTGGTATTAGTAGTAAACTTTCAAACACCCCGAAATGGCAATCACCATTGATCCACGCACCGCCATTTTTGAGACTGAAAAATTACCTAATTCCATTTGTGAGTAAAGTTCTTAAAACCTCTTGAGCGACTCGTTGGGTCTTGTGTTTTCACTCTTGTAGTGAATTCAAACTTTTGTTTTTGTTGAAGTTATTGAAACTAATATATAATCTATTCAAAAATCAATTTGCTAAAACTAAGAAGACGACCTGCACTGTTTGCACTAGATATTCTCATGTCCAATGTTACAAAATGTTTCTACTTTGAATTATTGTCATTTATTTTTTGCACGCATGTGTCAAAGAATAGTTAGTTATATGTCGAGACACTATCGTTGTTATCGACCCAGTTCATTTACAAAATTTGCAACAATAGGACTATTGGACTGTGGTATTTTGTGGCGTAGAATAGCTGTGGTCACGCTTTTGACCAGGCAGTCAGTCCTCACATGGTTTTTAAATTTATTGTACTTTTCCGAGGGCGTCAGACAATTCCCCTTTTTTGTTTGCGAAAGTCCTTGTTTGTTCATGTTGAAATGTCGAATATGTGCAAATAAAAAAATAAGTAGAAGAAATGTCACTCATTAGGCACAAGTAAACAATAAATATTTATTGTTTGATTATTAAACCCTTGGCGGTAAAATTTGTGAGCAAAAATTCAAGATTTTTCCAGGCCGAAACTATATGCTCAAAGTATCTTTATCGGTGAATATCAAAATTTGCACGAGATTATTTCATAAAAAAACTCTGGTTTTAGCGAAATTATTACGCTATTTGACCAAGGATCGTGAAGTCGGAGTTTGGCATGTTTTTACTGGAATCGTAGCCGAAGCGTATTTTCAAACTCACTTCATTCATTATCAAAATTCGATTTTGATTTCAGAGTCGAAAAGGTTCTTAATTAAAACGAAATCGGGAGCCTGAGCTAAAATGTGTCTTATCCCGGAGTTGGAGTCAAATTTTGTTCAACCCGGAATTAATTTTAAATTTTACTGATCCACAGGCCTACGGCCACAGAAGACGCAGCACTTATTTATTTATATTCTATCTGACCACAAGATAATATGGTCCACCCAATTCTTTTTTGAAACTAAATGGAGCCGCGGAATTTCATGGGGTATTTACAGACTTATTTAAATATGTGCGTGGGATGAAAATATAAATGGTATTCAATAAATCAAATAATTAATAATATCAAGTTTTATAAGACCAGCACGAAACATATATCATTTATAATCACGACTGTACAGATATTTATATTTGCAGAGACAAAAGTCACCACTAAGTGAGTATGCTATCAGTACCATCAAATAGTTGGCGCATTATGTCACCGACGAACCGACCACAGAATTGGGTCGTCGTCTTTTGACGATAACTCGAGTACACACTCGTATCAAATTCCTAAGATGAACAACAGAATATTTTAACGAATATCTCTGTTTATTGATTATAATATGTTGTCTGCGAATGGCAATGAAAATTTCAATTCCCACGCCACTTATGCACAACTATAAATGTATGTAAATTCAGCTGCACTTGGTATTTCAGTGATTGCCATTCTCTTATTTACTTCTGAGATAGTGCTA